AGCCTGAGCAACTTGGCGAGACCTCATCTCTACAATAAATCCAAAAATTAGCTGGGCATGATGGCTTGTGCTTGTAGTTCCAGCTACTTGAAAGGCTGGGGCGGAAGGATCGCTGAGCCCTGCAGGACGAGACTGCAGTGGCCGGGAGCATGCCACTGCCCTCCTGCCTGGGTGACAGAGTGAGACTCCAACTCAAAAAAAAAAAAAAAAAAAAAAAAGATTAACTCATTAATCTTCAGAAAAACTCTGAAAAATAGATATTACTTTTTACCATCTTAAAATGAGAAAAATGAGGATCAAGAAAAATCCAATAATTTTAGAAGTGATGAATAGAAAACAGCGTAATCAAATTTTGAAAGTAATTCTAACTCCAAAGCACTTATCAAAGTCCTCAAGATGACCTTCGGCATCCTGCAGGTCCTGGCCCCCGCGACTTCTGTCCCCTTATGCTATTCACTGGCCTCTAACGTTACTGGTTTTCTCATCTCAGCTTATACACTTCCACCTTAGTATGTGTGCACTGCTTAGGACATTCATCTTCCAAATCTGAAAAACTCCCTCAACTCTTACAGGACAGGTTTTTATTTAATTTGCCTTCTTAATGACATACACATTGAAAACTCCATACTAAAATTGCCACTCACCTTCACACATCTTCCAACCCTCACCGCTTGCACTACCAATCTACCTTTTCATACATTTTCTTTATTTCATAACATGCATAATATTCTAACATAGAATATAATTAACTCTATTGTTTACTTCTCCATTAGAAGGTAAGTTCCATGAGAGCAGAGATTTTTATTCATTTTGTTCACAATCTATCTGAAAAGCTTAGACTAATGTAGAACACATAGTAGGTGCTCAATAAATATCTGTTGAAGAGCTGAATGAATCATTCCTCTATTCCACTGTGTATTTTACTTCTAGAATGATAACACATTCTCAAACTTTCATTCCCAAGTCCTCCTTCTCCCAAGTTATAAGATTATTTTTCATTTGTTTAAATAGTTTTTATCCTATATTTATAGTACTGAAAACAGATACATGACAAGGAATTGGGATTTGGGGGTAAATAAGTAATCTTTGAGAATTTAGGGACTTGCCTGATATTGTCAGAAATGTACTTTGGTGCTGATTTTAGCATCACTACCCTAAGGGAATCAAAATCACTAATTCTATCAGCCCTTATCTATTTTATTGTATATTCTATTAAGTTGATACTAGCATTATTCATGCCCTATGTTTGTCTCACAAATGCAAATGAGAAAACCCTAAGTGGATGGTACATTTCCTGAAGTCAGAATGCATGTCTTTTTTATAGTGTTCATAGAAAATAAAGGACATTCACAAGGTTATTGATCCACATAAAAATAATAGTGATAAAAATTATGGCTAATCTCTATTGAAATATATGTCAGTTACAACCAAAACTCTCACAACATTCTTCTAAACCCGATGTTCTTATCAGTTTTATTTTAAAGATGAGAAAACTGCAGCACAGAGAGGTTAACCAGTTTGTCCAAGCTCACGTGGTTTAGGTACTCACTGGTGAGACCAGGATTTCAACTCAGGCTGGCTGTGCTAGATATTGCCATCAAGCATGGGTCATCTGTGCCTGCCAGAGGGAGTGCTGAGCCCCAGAGGGTAAAAGCTGAGAATACCAAGCTCCAGAATCATATCAACACATGATCTTTACTCATCCCTTTATATTCCTTACTATAAACTGATGCTATGAAAAGTGCTCCTTTATTTATTTAGAAGAGTTTACACATTATAGAAAAGTCACTATAATCACATGGGAAATCAGTAACAGAGAAAAAAAAAATACATGACAAAGTTTGTCAGGATGATAGTTGATAAAAAAGACAGTACTATAAGGATAGTAGTGAAGCAATAACAATCTATTTTAACATTTCAAATAATACTTGGAAATGTTTATGCTTAGAGAACCTTTGAGTGAAAATAATGATAAGGGCTATAAATAAATTCGTGGCATTTGCTGTATTTTGCTCTCCATTTCTGAGGCTGACAGAAATCGTTATTACCCATAGGTAAAAAACACAAACACACTCTTTAATTTACCATTGATGAAAAGCTCTCTTGCTCTCTGGCAATAAAAATATTTACATAATAGAATAAGAGGCAAAAAGAGATCAAGTGCCTAGAGGCACATTTCTAAACAATAGCAACCCCAGGGTTTAAGCCCAAGTGGTCTAATCTCAGTGGCTGCCTCATCATCTACACACTATGTCTCTGGCATAAGCATCACCTAATATTTTGAAATCACACTTGATTTAAGAATGAATTTCATAAATCACATGTCATGGTAAAGATCACTATAACCCCATGGATTAAGAAAATCTATTGTGGGCTTACTGCGTAATTAAAACAAAGGGGAGAAACAGAAAGAGGGTTGCATGCAAAATATATAATTTTAAATTACAGTACATAGTTTTGCTATTAAAGGCAGTGAGGAGATCCACCTTATTTTTCATAATGAAGCCTAAAGTCACCTCCATTATACTGTGATTTTTTTCTTTCTTATCTACCTTACCAAAAAAAAAAAATCATTTATTTCCCTATACTCTGTAGTACCTTGTACATAACACTAGCCTTGCCCTTTTTGCACTGTTATAGCAGGCTTAACTTGAACTTCTCTACTATCCTTTTTTGAGTTGTGAGGTTTAGAACTGGATTTTGCTGTCTTTGTATTCCCTGTACCTAGTATGCAGTTGTGCTCAACATTTGTTGCAACAGATGAAAATAAAAGCTAATCTATTTTCCTTTTGCACATACACCAAAAAGAAAAAAAAATTGTACAGCTTCCATCCATACTTTATTGTAAAATATGCCAAAATCAGAACTTTTGAAAAATTGAAGTTGGTATCTCACTCTGGCACCCAGACTGGAGTGTGGTGTCACGATCAGGGTTCATCACAGCCATGTCCTCTGAATTCTTGCTCTGCCTGTCTGGTTGCACATCTTCCCTTTGCAGCCGGACAGGTGCTCAAGACCACCTGTACAGAGCATGTCTACGGGGTCTGGATCTGGTTCTCAACTGTCTGAATGCCCTAACCTTCCCTCAGAATCAACTCTCAGTTCTGACTGGAAAGGAGAATAAAGCTTTGCAGGCAAATGAACCAGAGAAAACGAACATGTTTCACAGCCTTTATTGATAAAACTCCAGGACCTTACAACTGGGTCCTCCTTGAACTACCAGGAAAATAAAACTTGCACATTAATTCTAATACCTTACTCACCATTTAACCTCACTTAAAACTTTCTTCCTTCTAAATTGTACATGAGTCTTCCAAAATTTCAAATTATTTGTTTAGAAAAACCTAATAATTAATTGAAAATTATTTTTAAAACAACATAAACAATTACTTTATCCCTGTGATTCTGACCTGGCTTGTCTGAGAAATACGACGAGTCCGGTTATAAAGAGCCATGCTGTCTCCCTCCCGGGTTCTTTCAATTCTCCAACCCCAAGCCAGCATAGTTTTTAAAGATTCTTTGATTGGCCAGCGATAAATTTCTTTTTCCTATAGAAAAAGAGAAAACACACACAAAACAACCCAGGTATATTATGAATCTAAATGAAAATTTAAAATATTTAATGCTTTGTTCTGAAATTGACCGCCTCCAATTCTCAAACATTTGATCAGCTTAGTTAAAAATATAAAAGTAAAATTCTAAAATGCAGACTGTGAACTAAGATCTAGTTTCATGCATGCTACTAAGAGGGATCTTCACTCAGTATATAGCACAGAGGTTAGTTCTCTTTAACTTACACAGAAACTCAAAAGAAGAAATACAATTAGGAATAAGTGACAGCTTATGTAATACGCATGTGATTCACAATGAAATAAAATTCTTTTTGCTTTACTTGTCAAGAAATTCATTTTCCTCCAAAGAAGTAAAATATATAAAAACTTCTACACAAAAACCACATTAAACTATTTCTTATCATTCCTCATCAAGAAGCTCTGAAGCATGACAAGAATATTTTCTCAAGTCCTTAAAAATATGGGAGGGGAATAAAAGCCAAAAAGGAAAAGAAAAATATTAAGAAGAAAAAAGTATAACCACAGGAATACTGACTGAAAATGGGAATTAAGAGAAAAAGACAAAATACACGAAGATAAAAAATAAAACCTTTGAAAAGGGTAAAAGTAGTAAATAGAAAATAAACAGGACGTTTGAATAAGAAAATATAATAACAAAGAAAATATTTTCCAAAAAAATTAAAGCTTTGTAAACTTAAAAAAAAAACTCACCTTTTCAGATAATAATTTATATGGCTTCATTAATGGTTGAACCTTAGAAGAGTCAGAATATATTTCTCCATAAATCCATCCATTTGCCAACTTAAAAAAAAAAAAAATTGTTTTACATGAATTAATTTTAGAGTCTAGAGGTGCACGTATTTAAGCATGCTTGATAAAATAAACCTAAAATGAACTGGGATAATGATTAAGGTTTGAATTTTATCTAGCATAAGTCAGCATGAAGATGTTCATCCTAATCAATGTGATTTTCAGTAAACATCTGGAAGTCTTTTTATGTAGAGATTGGAAGCACCCTGTCTTTCTTCAACAGACCCAGGTCTGTGATTATGCCAACAAGCATTTTCCTAGATGGAGGTTACAGGGATGCATGGCCATAATGATATTTATTCTGACACATTTCAGGACCCCACCTATGACACGTGTATATAAAATGTTCATTTTAAGCAGGAAAACTGGAGGATGTATGTCAGAAGCTTACCTGAATGTTACCTATTCTGCCCATCCCTCTAACCAATTATCTATCAACATGTTCGCTACACACTATTTTGCCCATGTGTACATATCATCGTTTCTCTGTATCATCTCATGCCTGCCTCTGGAGTCTGGGTAACTAGACTGGAAAAGCTCAGGACTACCTTGTTGTAATAGTCAACTCCACTGGCTCCATACTCTATGGAGTCTTTATAAAAACAGACCCTTACTGGCTTACCTAGTAAATTAATTAATCAACAAAGAACCACACATTTATCAAAGCAAATATAAGAGAGGTTTCTTAGAGAGAGTAAGGAACTGATTGGCCAGGGCAAAATCTGAAATGGAACAAGACATCTCTAGCATGATGATACTGAGTTAAGTGACATAAGCATCCTGTGGAGCCTTTGCTGTTTGATTTTCATTTCACCAAATCAGTACATGCATAATTTAGGTTCTTGAACTATCTCGACTCAACTTTTTTCTTTCTGACAAAACTATTTTTTTTTTTTTTGAGTCACAGTTCCACTCCATCACCCAGACTGGAGGGCAGTAGCATGCTCCCAGCCACCACAGCCTCGACCTGCTGGGCTCTGATGATCCTTCCATCTCCGCCTTTCAATTAGCCGGAACTACAGGCACGCACCACCACACCTAGTTAATCTTTCATTTATTGTAGAGATGAGGTCTCACCAGGTTGCCCAGGCAGGTCTCGAACCCACAGACTCAGGCAATCCACTGCCTAGGCCTCCCAAAGTACTGGGATTACAGACTGAGCCACCAAGCCCAGTCCTGACAAAACTATTTTAACCATCCTCTCTCAAATTTAAACTAGGCTCACCTTAAATGTGAATCCTCAGGCATAATGCTTACTTTAGAAACTCTCATAATATGTGGGAATTATCTCATAAATGCAGCTGCTTTAACGTTCTCATTTGGGTTTTTTCTTGAAAACACAAATAAAATATGTCACCTGGCCAATGTAATCTATTTTTTGTGATCTTCAGATCAACTTGGTAGCAAGAAACACAACAGAAGAGTAGGTGAGAGTAAACAATCATTAAATCCTAATTAGGAATTTTTCCCGATTTTATCTCATATAAAACTGTATATAAAAACAAAGTTTCCTTAAAAGGTGAATTCTGAACCTGGAGTCACCACTGCTTCCTGAAGCTCCTGATAATTGTTACTTTTTATCCCTTATAAACAATATGTGTTTAGAAACTATGTTTGTGATTTAATTAATATGTCTTTTGAAATCTTAAAATTGTGCTTTTTATGAACACAAATTTCCTTATTCATATTCATATGGGTATCATACTTGTGTTAGTGGCAGAATTAGCTAAATATATCTGCAATTATAATTAAATGTTCTTTTCTAATTTAGATAAAGCTCTCACTTTAAAATAGAAAACTACATGGTAAGAGAAATTTGGGCAGGGACTAATCATTAAAGACTAAGTTAAACATAATATTTGCCTTTTACCTTATCCATTGACCATTTGTCATGCGAATGTTCTGCATATTTGTTAATGAAGTATTCCAACTTCTCAGGAATTGTAATACTATGAAAAAAGTAAAACAAAAAACTTGATTTTTCAAAGAATTTATAGGAAATCATATTAATAATTTACTCACAGCTTATGAATGCTTAAATCCCACTCAATTATAACTGCTAAAAAACAGTTTTAACAGTTTTCAGAACAGAAAAGTCAAGCAGATCATGTTCTGTTCATCTTATATTGATTCATATTTTATTGTTAGCACAAATTAAATCAAAATATACATAATATAATAATTATTAAATGCATATTTACATTAAAATAATCGAAATATATTAAAATTTGAAGACAACACATTATACAAAAAAGAAAAAAACAAACCCTAAATCAAGATACAATTAAACTAAATAAGCTTAAAGACACACTTTTCTTCCTGTATCTCACTGAAGTTGTTCTCTTTTTGACTTAAGTATCTTCTGAAACAACTATAAATAGATAAAAGATGCTGAAATCTGGTCTCTTCTATTTTAAAAATGTACTAAGCTTTTAAATTAATTTTATACAATTAGTGCTGTATTAATAATTTTAAATATTAATAGTCCATATATAACATTTAAAACATTATTAATATTAACTGTAGGAAAAAGTAATTAACAAACTCATGCTTTATAAAAATAACATTTACTCTTGATACCTTTCATGCTTATATAAATATTTAATCCCTTGAACAGATGTCAAATGCATGCAGTTGATGACCAAGTCTGATGGTAAATCTAAGACTTGGGAATATCAAACATACCGATGAATGGAAAATTTAAATAAAAAATCTACATAATTCAATTCATTTGTGAATATAACCTATAAACCAATTAATTTTGAGAATATATTCTCAATAAAACCTAGTATAAGATAGTTTACTGTACTTTTCCAGCAAAGTTTTTAGTAACTGAACTAGAGGACATATACATACTTAAGAAGCAATATATATAAATCACAATCACGTAGAAATTATCGATATCACCATATGCATCTAATTCTGTTAAGAAGTCTCCAAAGTGGCAAGTCTAGGTAAATTAATATACATGCCCATGTTCTGATGCTAGTTTAAAATCCCACATTATAGTGTAGGTTAGCGAACCACAAACTTACCCATGTAGGAATGTGAACATGTGATATTTTGGTTTACTTACTTTGGAAGAAATACAAAAGATCAATCACATAAGCCAAATACTGGGGGGAAGAATCTTTTCTCACAGAACTGTCATCAAATACCAAACATGCAAATTGAAGGCATTATCAAACTAATGGCATACCACTCAGGTTGAAATTTTGATCTGGATATGGAAGCTAAACCAGGTAGGGGGCACTCAGAAGCCTCAAAGTTGAACTCCCCAGCAAATTCAGAAGCCGTGGATAATAACTACCAAGTGACTACCTTTCTAAAACTGATCTTGCTGAGTCACCATGAAATCAGTAAGATAATGTGGCATGAAGAGGCAGCTTTCCTGGCAAATGGAGAACCGTGGTCCTACTTAAAGACAGTAACAACAACAACAACAAAATGCTGAGACTTCAAGCGCCTGAAGTACCCAAACATCCGATCTGTAGAACAATTTATGCAACTAAATACATGTAAGAAGTTTCAACATGTTAAATAATGTTGTTTTATCTTTAGTTAAGGTTGTCAAACTGTATTCTGACTGCACACTACATTTTCTACAGAAGTTCTCATTTGACATTCCTTCCGTCTCTTGCTGTGCTTTATGACGCTGAACACTGAGCTTTGCTGAGATGTGGTGATGGGTGAAGTGACTCCCTGCTACTCCTAAAAATGGCTTTGCACTGCATGCTGGGATCAACTTAAGTAAAATATGCTGTACAGAGATTGATTATAGTTATTAATAAACATTCTGGGTAAGTTTTCAACTAAAAGTATAACTGATATACTTTCTTGATTCTCATTATTACAGATATTGCCATGTGGTTAAACAGAGAATCCTGATTATGTTAAGAGTATCCTAGAAGGTATATCTTATCTATTTCTTGTCTTCATATAATCATTATAATGATTATTACTATCACTTGATAAATTAAAGGAACTCCTATTAAAAGGATACCAATTCAAAGGGGGCATGTATTAGAGAAAGTTCACTTTAGTACCTTATTCAATTTCAGACTTCACACATCATTTACAATAAAAATCTGCTGCAATAGAAAGAGTCCATACTTTGAGGTATCAACAGGTTGTGGGTTAAAGTTCCCTTCAGAATCCATTGATGACTGTTTTTCCATCATACTGACATAATTTGACTCCATGTAGTCTGGAGGCAAAGCTCCTGCAACTGCACTCAGGCAAGGCAGTGCCAGTTTGAAAAGTTCTTGTTCATATTTCTGGGGGAAAAATGGAGGATCGAAAAAATACTATATTACTATATGGCAAAAGTTGTCAGCATGAGCACTTTGGCTGATACAAGGTTGCGGAAGAAAATCTAGATAATCCTGGGACAACTTAACTCTCTGATGATTCTTTCTCTAGAAAATGGAACACATAGCCTGAAATCTCATCCAACTAAGAGAAGCTGCAGCTAGATTTATTGCACTTGCATCTTAAAGAAGATAAAAACTTTGTTTCTCCAACATATTTAACATGAAGTAAACTTGAATATTCTAAATCCATAAAATGTCTTTACTACATAAACATGATTTCAGTCAGTGAGGACAATATATCTTATAGTTAGTTATAAATTACACTGTCCTACCTTATAATGACTATACGTGAGAAATACTCATAGGATAACATTCCATACAGTGGAAAATTTTAACTTTCTGGGTTGTTTTATAAAGGGATGAAAAATAAAATGCTGAAATAGGAATTAAATTCTATAGAAAGTATGCACAGGGCAACACCCTTGGGTCCCCTCTCACTGTGGGAGCTTTTCTGTCTTCCCAATAAATCCTACTTTCTCAAAAAAAAAAAGTATGCATAACAAAAATTTCTGGGAATAGGTATTTGCATATTAATTTATAATTAGTTAAATTTGTAGTTATAAGTTTTCTTTTAAAAAGTAACTTTTAAATTATCTTACTTTAAATGTTTTATTTTAAATAAATGTTGTAAATGCTTCTAAAAATTGTTATTTCAAAAGGACTCAGTTGCCAAAGGAAATTCAGTAAAAAAAAGCATCAACATGTAGCTACCAAATGCAATCACAGATAAACTTCCCCCTATTATATCATAAACTTGTGATTATACTGCTCCAATAATCTAATAATGTCTATCTGGGAACATACTGATCTTGTTTAATTTAAGCATAAGCATACAAAATATGTTTTTTTCTGATTTTTATCTGAAATTTCGACTCTTCAGTCATCTGAAAATTTATGAATTATTCATTATAAATTCACAACTATAAGAGACTGTCACATACACAAAACAACACTGAGTGGGAATATTTAAAACGTTATAGCAGCAAAGCTGGAGACATCAGCAGACCACTGAAATATTATAATTTATAAGCTTTCATAGTTTGCATTTTTGATAAAATTTCTTCAGGCTTTATAAGATATAACAAAGGAGAGTTCATGTTAAAATACGTCCAAATGCACAAGAAACCTCTTAACCAAGGGTGCAATCTCCAGCTGTTTATCCATTTTAAATTCAGAAGCAGTAATATGATCTAAAGGAAATGCTACCATAATGATTAAGAAAAATAAATACAAATTGCATTCTCAACATTTATTATTAAGTTAAGAATACAGGAAAAGAGAAAGTTGTATATATATATATGTCTTGACTGGGAATACTAGGTATACTAGGAATACTACCTTTGACTTTTTATCACTTTATCAATACAAATAGATCCACAAACCACTGAATTACCTTTTGAGACAGGGCATCAAAAATGCCCCAGAACAACTTTCTGGATAAATGAAGTTCTTCTTCGGAGGCAGCACCAAAGTTCCCCCACCCTCCAGGCAGGCAATAGTATTTCCAGCATCTTTCATAATGATTTGTCAGCAGCTATGAGGGAAAACAATTTAAAAAGCAATGAGCTATAGACGCCTTTTATATTTTTTCCATGTCCCTTTATAAGGCATTCTAATGCTATGGAATGAGGTCAGCTAAAGTGAGACTGTTCAATCCCAAATGAACTCTTTTGGAGAATACTAATACTATTACTATGTCACTTTAAAGTTGGACATTGATCATCATATGAGGACCAAACGTTTAATTTTACAAATAACTATATCTTGAGCAGCATTCTTTATGAGGTTGTTTGAAAATCTATGTATCCTTAAATTCTACTTTAGTTGTTATCATTTACTCATAATTTTATGCATTGCTACCTTGAAATCCATGTGTAAAGTGGAGGAACTGATATCAAGGTGACCCAGACGCACAGTAAGAGAACTATATACACTTGGAGTCATTTTTGCTTCCTCTGTGCCTCTCCTTAGGCATCATGCTTTTTGGTTTGCCTCAAAACTTACTTCTCTAAGTAAAGTTCTAAAACTCATCTAGTTGAATCATTTATTTTATCTACATATATTTCTTTGGTGGTAATGGGTGCAATTTATTACCTTACTTAATGTTTATGCTGTGCCTTCGGCTTTCAGCTATGTATGCTGTTTGTTTGCTTAGAAATAAACTGGAAATTCAAAGACAAAGATTGAATCTTTCAATTATTTGGTATCTCTGTAGATAACTTATTACTGATCTATCTTTATCAAATTAATAAAATAATCTGTATGAGCCGACTACAAATATTTTGACTCTTCTGTATCTAAGGAAGAATATAAACTGTAAAGACTATTATTACTAAAGTTAATTACACCTCTTACTATTGAAATAGTTTACCTCACTTTAGTCTCCGTTTCAGTTACAAAACACAAACACACCACGTATCCACACAATTTAGGAGTCTCAAATGATGAAATATTGACATCTAATTTGCATGGCTTAGCATGGAAATATCTATAATGTAAAAAAGCTTTATTGCATAAAGAACATGAGACTTCTTTCTTTGAGAATCTTCTAGCTTGTTTGTATCAAGAAAATTTTTGCATGACAAGGGCTATTCTAGATGATAATGACTATAAAAATGGAATTTTTAGCAAGGATATAATTTACTTTACCTAATTCATGAATTTATCTAGATTTATTAAGCCAAAAATCAATGTTCATAGGGAAAAATTATTTTTGTTAAATATTCAGGGATGCTTAGTGCAACAGCTCAACAAATAGACTGATCTGTATCTTGCAACTCTTCCATTGGAGAAAAATGACACCTACTCGATGGCAATGCGGAGTGGTCACCTATAAAAAGTGCATTACATTACCATATAACTTGATGCACAGACAGTATTCTGAGATTAGGATATTAAATGACAAGAAAGCACTTCCAAGTCAGTAAGAGAGAATGAGATTTGATCATAAATAGCAAAGCTGGACTGAGAAAATATCATTGACTTTTTTATACTTTGTGACAAACCGTAACTGCATATACAGAGAGGGTATCTTTGAACCCTATGAAGTGATATTTGGAAACTTTCATGTGATTATTACCTTAGAAAATGTTGTCTTTAAAGCCTGCTCTTTATTCCTTGGGGTTGCTAATGTTTTAGGCCATGTTTTCCAGCTTAAAAATATCTTGGCTTATCTTTTCCGTGTGATTCATTTTTTTCCCCACTGACGTCTATTTCCATGAAAATCAATTTTAAGAGTTCTAGGATCCTCTGTTACTTGTTTATTTCAAGTTAATACACGTTTCTATAACTTACATGCCCATTTCAATAACTGGGAGAAATTCAGCAGCATCAACGATCAAGCATGATGCATCTAAGAGATGTCCATGTTATACGGGAATAAAGTCACAGTAACCAGTAGTCAAATAAACACAAGCATTTCTTATACTTACCTTAAGAGGCATCTTTGCATGCTCATTTAATAATGGAACATCAAATACTAATCTTCTGAGTAAGTGCTGCATCATAGAAGGTCTCAATTGGCTGTTGGAACAAAAGCTAATTTTAATAATGAAGAGAAATGTGTCTAAACTAGGTAGATCATACATTAGACTAAATTATATAGTGTAAAATGGGATATTATATTCAGATGGCATTACTTAGTTATTCCTAGTCAAAAGACTAACCCTATAGTTACTCGATTTATATGAGCTTACATTTACCAACTCATCTCTATTCCTCAGATCTGAAGGCCATCACTTATTTGCTGCAGAAGATATTTCTCTTCTGCCCCTTTCCTTCCCAACCACTCACAACCACTCATGCTGTTTCCTAAGATCTTCCTCCATTAATTTTAGTAAATGCTCCTTCTCCTATTCCATTGGATAAGAAACAGAAATGAGAAAGAATACAGGAAGACAAGGGAGAATAAAAAAAGACAAGGGAGAAAAACTAATACATAGTGAAGATCTATTGTGTCAGGCAATACCAAGTGATTTACCTCATATAACATAAAGAAAACTCTGTGAGATGAGAATTTTGATCCCATATTAAAGAATCTTAGGTCAGAGAAGTTATAAAACTCCTCTCCTGATATTGTACCTCCCTCAGTCCCACATTCCCCCATGGGTGAAAACCTGTCCTCCCCCGTGGGCTGCCAGGCTAGAGGCCTTTCCCTCTGAGAGTTCCTGAACAATCAGAAAGGAGCCATCATCCTCCTCAAGGACTTGAAAAATTATCACTTTCACTGTCTGTCAGGACTTCAGCAGGGGAACTCTGCTGCTGGTTCATAGTAAGACATTTGGACACTTCTACCCAGAGCGAACGGTTTTCCAGGTTGGAGGAAATACTTAGCCTTCACCATTGCCATACATAAATATAATTTTATTATACTTTATCATTTTTTTATATTTAATGAGTCCCTTTTATCTTTCTACTTCTGGAAGAAGAATTAAAGTGATCACACACAGTCAAAAGAATCTATTAATCTTGAGCAGAAAAGCAAGGCACTTAACCGGGAGCAAGGATACTACGAGAAGATTCATTCCTCAGTTTACAGGACAACCTAAGATGAATTAAATTTTTGGTACAGAAAATGTTTCCAAAATTCAAAGTAATTTGTCAAAGTCCACATTGTAAATTCTCTTCTAAAGAAGAAGAAATGTGGCATAGAGCCAGTTGTCTACTTACCCACAAATAGAGAGTAAACAAACTTCTATGGAATCCCGTTGAGCTTTGGTAAGTGAGCAGCCCTTAGAAAGCCTATATACAGTATGAAGTAGTGAATCAATGAGGGAAGCATGGTGCTCTGTGCCAGCAAACAGAGGAGCACATCTTGTTAACAAAGGTAACACGGCTGTACAAAGGTACCGGTTGAGGGCCAAGGCCATGTCTGTAGCACTCAAAGCAGCCTAAAAAGGAATCAGAGTAGAGAGTCGTTTGCTTTTGGCAGTAGACTGCTTTCAAAGGGATCAACATATGGACACATAATTTCACTATCTAAAAGTGACAGCAGTATAAAAAATGAAAATATATTCTATAGTTTTATCTGTAGATGTGGTTCATATGATTTTTATCACTAAAAGCAACCAATGGTTAGTTCATAAATAGATAAAAATGAATGAAATTATGCCTAGCTTCTCAAAAGCCCAAGAGGTTCAGGTTCCATCATAAAATATCAGTGGCAGGGCCACTCATAGTGGCTCACCCTTGTAATTCCAGCACTTTGGGAGGCTGAAGTAGGAGGATTGCTTGAGCTCAGGAGTTCAAGACCACCCTGGGCAATATAGCGAGACCTCGTCTCTACAAAAAATAAAAGAATTAGCTGGGCCTGGTGGCACTTGCCTATAGTACCGACTACCTGAGAGGCTGAGGCAGAAGGATTGCCTGAGCCCAGATGGTCAAGGCTGCAGTGAGCTGTGATTATGCCACTGTACTCCAGCCTGGACAACAGAGCAAGACCCCAACTCAAAAAAAAAAAAAAAATCAATGGTAGGATGGATGTAAGATGAATTTATTAATGTTATCAAAGATGTGACTGTTTTTCCTTTGCTTGGGGAAGAGGGAGAAGAGATCATTTGCACAATAGATTTCATATTCAGAAGTTCTTTTTCATTTTTAATTTCTTTTTTATTCCTAATTTTATTATTAATTTTATCCATATCCCTGCTGATGTACAAAAGCTGACTGTATTTATGTATTATCATCTATACTATTTAAGTTCAGAATTTCATGTGAATAGGCCCAACAAAGAAATTTCCACTTCCTTTTTTTTTTTTGAGTCAGAGTCTTATTCTGTCACCCAGGCTGGAGTGCAGTGGCACGCTTAAGACCACCATTAGCCTGACCTGCTGGGTTCAGGCAATCCTTCCACCTCAGCCTTCCAAGTAGCTGGAACTATAGGCGCATGCCACCATGCCTGGCTAACTTTTTGATTTATTTAGAGATGAGGTCTCGCCAAGGTGCCCAGACTGGTCACAAACTCCACTTGATTTTAATGATTCCGCTCTCACAGATTTTATGAAAAGGCTATTTTCAGATCAAGATCTGATTTCCCCTGAAATAAGAAAAGTCCATTTAATTGACAAAATGAATAGGCAAATAAAAGCAAACATTACTATAACTACTATAATAACATTTGGAACTTCAGCTTATTCCACAATGCTTCAAAAAGCTGAACATTTACACTGATAATGGCAGATACTCCATGTAGACCACCCAATCTACAGGACAGATTTTGACCTCTCTGTACCTTAACAAATGAAGACGCCAGGATGATACTGTAACTGACATGACTCAATAATGTTCATTAAATCTTTTTAATATTTTAAATGCTTTAATTGAGAAGCATAATTGTTTAGGTCATTTTAGAGGATATTACTGAACAGAGCTCAACATCAGTCTGAATTAGGGTAATATGAACCTCTTGTTGACTTCCATACCATCTTATCAGAATTCTTAACATATTCTTGAGGTTGGCAGTTTAACTATTCAGTGAATTCCTTGAAGATATAGTATATTTTATTTTGTTTACTCACTGCATGCCTGAAAATATAATAGGTACTCAAAACATGTTTGTTGATGATAAATGAGTGAATGAATATATGCATGAAAGAATATCATAAGACACAGACTGGAAAGTCCAAAGTGGAAGAAATTAATTGTTCAAATCATACCGTATCTAAAGAAGCAGCAGCCCGGAGATCTGGCAGAAAGCCAACTTCAAGAAGATGAAGGAGGAACTCTTGAACCTCAATTCCATAGACCCTGTCAAGGAATAAAACCATGGCTGCCTTGTGATCTGGGCAAAACCCTGCAGACATGTCAGGTTCCACCACATTCCCATCTAAAAGAGAGAAGTGACATGCTGGTGTCAATGGCTGTGCCATAGCAGGATAGATTACAAAAGGCTTCTTTCCAGGCTTCTCATGTTTTAAATAAAGTTACCAGTGAAATGGTTTTCTGTTCTTTGTCTACCCTCAAGCAAGCATGAGAGTTGGCTAAGGAAACATGGCAGTGTAAAGTTAAATGTGAGGTCATTAACATGTTATTTGACCATCCATTTGTTAACTGCATACAAGATAAAGACATAGCATTCTGTTGGATACTTAAAAGAAACAGAAGGCATCCAAATATTTCTTGTAAAACTAGGAGTGAAAACCATGACAAATTAAATGTAAAGTAAGAAATTTTACTCTTTTCAAGAAGGAAAGAGCTTCCTTTAAACATTAATAAAGCTCATGTACTCCTATGTGATAATCTCAGTACATTTACACTTTCATGGCTTAGAACAATAATAAAATGATGAAACAAGGTCATACAACCAGTATGGCTTTCATGTGAAATATGTTTCATTAATCATAACAGCATTTAATAACATTTAAAACATATTCAACTGTCATATTATTTGTCTCTATCCAAAGCCCATGTCTGATGTCTATATAGTGAACTCTTTATAATAACTCCAAAGGATCACAAATTGGGGACCATGGATATGAATAATTATGGGATTATGTGCCAAATTAAAATACTTAAGGATTGATTTGCTTCCTGTTTGGCCAAATGATAATTATGCCAAACTGGTGTTGATAACACAGTGTAAAACTCTACTGATAGTGCCACCATACTCACTACAAATAATATTACTATGATCATCCTGAAAGAATAAAATGACAACTTTTCTGTTTTCACCTTCCTTCCTAATAATTATAACAATACCTAATTAATACCTTCATTTCCTTACATTATGAAAACAGTAGCTCTTATCGTTGTACTGCCATCAGGCGCTGTGCTAGGAATGTTACAGCCCCATCTCACACAATTTCCTCAGTCCAACTGTGAAGCGGATATTATGATTCTCATTTAGTGAATGGTTAAAACTGGCCTTTAGAGAACTTGAGTAATTGCCTGAGGTCCTGCTTTTAGTAATTGGCAACGTTTTATTTGAGCCAGCTAAAACTGGATTTAATTTCAAACCAAAGCTGATTTAATCCTTGTGTTAAATCAGCAGGCTATAATTTTCAATTACAAATCTGTAGAAAACCTCAATTCAATTTGCCTAAAAATCACATTATAAGAAATTCAAATGTAAAAAATTCTACTGTTTTCAGGTACAGGTGTGCCAAGGGAAAGGTGAGCAACTCATTAATCCTACTATACGCTTTGTTTTTTAAACACTTATTAAAGTACACACTCATTTTAATAAATGCCACAACTGTATCTGCCTTGTGGCTACAGTTGCTGTTTTACATGACCTCCTCAAACACGGTGGAGACCATTAAAAGAGTTGTCTCACCCTGCAGTGCCTGCTGTATTCATCCACATGAAATTATTGCCTCAGACAAACTGACCAAACTGGTTTGGGCCAAGAGCTGCAAGATGTGTCTGCTCCTCAAGTTTTCTAAACCCCTCCTTCTTTCATTATTATTCTAGGCATATTCTAGCTCTGGAATAAATATGGTAAAAATGCTTGAAGAAGGCCTTAGCTAACACTGAAAAAGGAACATATCAATCTTTAGAGACAGACTTCACATACTAAAAACAGAACTTATAATGAACAGGATTACTGCTACTTGGTGATACTTATAGACCAACTGAGTAGTCATTGAAACAGAGAAAGAAGTATTGATGGTTTAAGTTTTGCAGAGAATGCATAGCCACAGTAAAATAAAAATACATAGGTTTCTGTCTACATTGCCCACACAAGGAAAGCAATGAAAGAAAAATGCAGAAATTTTACACTGACCAATGGATTATGTTTAAAAGTTAACATTCACTATGACTGTGATAGTTCATAACAAAACCTTTAACTCCCAATGTAGACAAAATACTGCAAATTTATGAAGAGAATCATCATAAAATAATATTATTAGAGCACAAGTAGAACTGTAAGGAAAACAACTTGAAAACTCTTGAAGGGTGGTAAAGACAGATGATTGGAGGAAATTAGTTGGTACATGGAGACTTTGTAGCCAATTCTGAAAGGGACACCTGGACACTCTCACATTCTATGTTCATGGCTCTTTGTTCTTACTCACGTTACCACAAAACTGAGCACTTCCCTACCTCCTAATCTGTATTCACTGGTACTATTCTTATATTTGTCCTTACACAGTTATGATGTATCCATAATCATTACAAATTAATTTAAAAAAAAAATACTATTCAAAAGTATGTTGTTAGCACTAAATAAAATGCAGGGGAAGGAAAAAAAAAAATATATATATATATATATTTTTGAGCTGAAGTCTCACTCTGTCACCCAGACTGGAGTGCAGTGGCCGCTCCCGGCCACCGCAGCCTCGACCTGCTGGGCTCCGGCAATCCTTCCGCCTCAGCCTTCCCAGTAGCCGGAATGACAGGCGTGCGCTACCACACCCGGCTGATTTTTTGATTTATGGTAGAGATGAGGTCTCGCCGCCCAGGCGGGTCTCGAACCCGTGGGCTCAGGCAATCCACTCACCTCAGCCTCCCAAAGGCGCGGGATTACAGGCTGAGCCACCGAGCCCGGCGGAAAAAATATTTTACTTAAGTAAATGAACATGAGTTAGAAGACAGGTACAAAGAAGGTTGATGAAGGTGAGTTTTAGAAACTGCCTCAAGTGGGAACGACAAAGGTAGGGGGACAATTTTTAGGCTCCTACTTTCCCTTAGATTATAAGGAGTATTCAATTATTATGACAGTTTTAATACCCGGTGGATTTGGGGCTGTGTGGTTAGCACACATGAGACTTTATTGTCTCATAATCATATGATTGATAAGTATAGTGAGCTCCTTCATTTGAGACTTGGGCTATTAAAGCCTTCTCCGGGGCATAATTAATGAAAGACAAGGATTATATGTAACATGTACTTACTATCTAATTGTGTTTTTGTTCCACAGTTAGAATTTTATATGAAAATGATTTATGTATAAATATCCAATGAAGTATTGAAAACTGAACAAAATTGAAATTTGGAAAAGTAAAGACAAAATATAATTTGGGATCTAACCTCTCTTAGTTGTCATCAATAATTCCTCCAAGTTCTAAAAAAATTTCCTCCTTAGTCTTGAAAAGAACATTTCTTTCAACACATAAGGAATTTTTAAATGTCTAAGTCAAAATCTGTGATCATTGGTGGAAAGAAAAGCATGATAAGAAAGTGATAATGAAAATGGATCAAAATGCTGAATTAAGGAATTGAGGTCAAGATAGAGGAAAATGACACCGAGGAACATGAGCAGGAATGTGATCTCAGACAGTGGAGGTATATATTTGCTCTTCTGCAGAAAATGTCTGTAATGCCACACAAAAGAGAATTAAAATATCAATGCAAAGATAGCTATTTAAAAGCAATGAGAATGGAAAATGTTTTAGAAAAGAAAATACTTTACAGTTATTTTTTAAAAGAAATTTAAGTAGTGTAGCCATGCTGCAGAGAGCGGGAAGGGAGGAATACTGAGAGTACAGAGAACATTATTTAGAACATTGTGCCATCCAATGTCCTACTGAATTACAAGGAACAGAAGGTGGCCTTACCTTTGGCTATGGTTGGCATCTGAAAAGCGATGCTAATTACTCCCACCAAATCTCCCAATGGAATCAGAGATCTCAAAATAGACCTGATTCTGATGGCTTCTCCCTTACCAGCATGAATCAACTACATAGGAAGAAAATTAAAGGAACATTAGAATAATTTTGTAAACTCAATAACTCTATTTAGGAAATCTGAAGTATGAGAATACAAGTCTAAGATAATTTCATGTTCAGTGTAAAGTGAGACCTCTTACAGAATTTGTTTCAGTTTTCTTGAAGACATTTACTTTCTCTCACAGTTTTAACTGACTTCAGCTTTCACCAAATTATATATACCATGGTCTAGGCCAGCTCGTTTATCCATTAGAACAATAGCTTTTATCCTCTTTGGGGATATTAAGCCATATTGAGTATCTTATAAGTTTATAAATTCACACCTTCCCCAAATTACATACAAATGACTATGACATGAACAATACATGAAAAAAATTGTCCTCAGACCCTGACTGATTTAGCTTCTTTCTTGCTTTGTGATGAGAAACTAATTGCATATTCATCTATATTCCAACTTGATTTCTCCCAAGGTTAGGCTTACCACATCTCCCAACATGGAAAAAATGGTGGACATAAATCCTAACAGTTCTTTTAGACTGACACTGGATAATGAAGTACCCATGATGACTGTGTATCAGGATCCAGTTAAGAATCTCAGCAAGGCTCTAGGACAGCCTGTAGGTTCCCAAAGCCAGGATGGATATCTGTTTCCTTTACCACAGGGTGTGAAACTCAAACACAATTTCTGACACATAGATGCCTCAACTAATAGTTGCCAAGATGAATAATTGTCAAGAGTGCCAAGGTTAGTACCTTATTAATTAATTCACTTAGTTCCCCCTTAATACAAAAGAATAAAAATTTATACTCTATAATTTCTCTCTGTTTCTCTGATCTTTTCAATGAGATGGAAAAAAGAACAAATACTAAAAATAAGTTTTGTTTTTGTTTTTGTTTTTTGAGTTGGAATCTCAGTCTGTCACCCAGGCTGGAGTGCAGTGCCATGCTCCCAGTCACCGCAGCCTCAACATGCTGGGCTTAGGCGATCCTTCCATCTCAGCCTTCCAAGTATCTGGGACTACAGGCAGGCACTATTATGCCCAGTTTATTTTTTTATTTATTGTAGAGACAAGGTCTCACCCAGTTGCCCAAGCTGGTCTCGAACCCCTGAGTTTAGGCAATCCTCTCACCTTAGCCTCCCAAAGTGCTGGGATTATAGACTTGAGCCACTGTGCCCAGTCAAGCAAGTTTCTTTGTTTTTTGTTTTGTCCGCAATCGCTTGTAGCACACGCCTTTTAAATAAACTGTTTCCATTTACTATGATTCAAAAAAAAAATCTCATGAGCAGCAAAGGCTGCGGTTTTAAAGAATCAGACTCCAAGTTTTACCCTGAAATTCCTCTCTGTTCACAAGAAAAGAGGACACCAAGTACGTTTTCAACTATGGGTATGAGAGAAAGAGAAAATAGCCAAACCAAAGCAAAACAAACACAGATGCCAAGGATAGGGAGAAAGGTGCTCTGTAAGAAAGTCCCTGGCTTCATGTTCATTCCCATTTAAAAATGTACTTGCAGTTATTAACCCTTCTGTGCCAGCACTGTTCAATATATTTCAAACTCCGGGTTGTTCCCCATGAAAAGGTCTTGACACTAATGTTAAGGGCTCTGGCTGACATTTTAAAAAATGCATATGACAGAATAACACAGAATTAATTACATTAAAATAAGGGGGAAAATACCAGAATATATTACAGGATAAAAGTATCATTCCATGAAATTTTAATTTCATTTTGGTCAAAAAGTCTTAGAAAACACTAATCTATACAGTCTAAATAGCTCTTAATCTCCCCCACCTACTCATCTCTCCCCTTGCTTTGTCCAAAACCAGTGGCAAACACATAGAGCTAGATATCGTGCAAAAGAAAATGACTCTTGGTAGGAGCAGTTGCTTTCTGCATGCGCTACAGCAAGAGTGGAAATTGTGTACAGAAAATATATTCTTCTCTTCTTAAAATGTGGGGAGACTGTAAGAGTTTTGGAGATATATGAACAACTAAGTATTCTATTAATGGCTTGCACTGGAATCTCATTACTAATTTTTACAACCAACAAGACATTTCTAACTAAACAAACACTTGTTCAGCAATTAGACTGAAGCTATTATTTTTAACGGAGCATGAAGATTATTGGTTTTGGATGCTACTGCAATCTTGGCCAGCTACAAATGTCTTATTACAGAAGATCAGGACTGCAGCTCCTGGGCCCCAGAGAACTCACATGCATCTCAGGAGCACAGCGTCCCAGGAGGTCAATCAAAGCTGCATAAAAGGTCATGATCGCATTCCCCAGGTGGATAGTGTCATCTTCCTCCTCTTCTGTGTCACTTTTGTGGGTTTTTCAAAAGAAACAGAAAGCAAATGGGATAACTGACATTTCAGGTTCATGACAGAGTCTTAGAAGAAAAATGGAGCCACAAGATAATGCATTCTTTTCCTCCTGATACATTTAACAAGTTTTAAACTTACAGCTTGACATTTTTAAAAGAGACAGTAGGTTAAAGATTAGCTTTAAGATTCTATCACCAAGAACACATCTGAAGAAGCTTTATACTAAGATTCCTTCAAAAAGGAAAAAGAGGAACGGCTAATTTGATGAATTCTGCTTGTTTCTAACTGTAGGCAGTGTCTTAACAAAGCAAATAACTGCTGGAAAGACTGTTATAGGTCCAGGCTATTTTTGTAATAACATTTTGGTTATTTTTGTAAATAACATACATGTAGAGAAACAGTGAAGATGTCATATAACATATGTAAGGCACCCAGTATATGCTCTGCCCCCCAAAAGTACTTCATAAATGTTACTCCACTTACCTACCTCTATACCAACTACCTTACCTTCCCCAGATCCCCCCCCAAAATAATTCAACATGTCTCTCTCCCCATCTCTGTGAGTAAAACATAACTATTTATTAACTTGCTGATGAGAGAAAAATCTGGGTGGCCCTGGAGACGCACATCCTTCTTCCTTGGTAACTGAGCAGATAAACTGTCTCAGCTAGACTCAGCAGTCTGAAGAGTGACAGAAGGCCTTGGCTGACAAGGCTTCTTGGGCACACAAGGCTATTCCCAGGGCCCTGAGGTGTACCCTTGCTAGTGTAGACCTGAGCCAGAGATCTCTGGATATATTTTCTACTACTGAGGGAAACTAAGGACTCCCTAATTCCTCTATGGCTAAAGGATAAACATGTAAGATGCTGTATATAAGTGGGGAAGGGGTCGGGCTTTCTTGCTTTTGGAGTGCACCCAGTCTAGAAATCTGGCCATGGTATGAACAGAACATTTATGCCCAGTGAAAGAACAAGGATTTGCAGGACTGTGTGTACTCTATTACTTTTATGCTTGAAAATCTGCCTCCCAAAGAAGCAATCTATTGTTATATCTCCAATAAAGGCAATAGTACTATGGGTGAATGACCCCCTAGGAGGACATGCACCTGCACAGAGAAACAACATGCCTGGATTGACTTGTGTCCATTACCGGAACCTAGCATTAACAATGCATACTATGAAGAAATAAGATGATGACTAACTGCTTTATCTGTCTCCTTAACCAACCATTTACTCCTCAGAATGATATCTTCTTTTCTAGATGCCACCATACCAGCTTAATCAAGTTTCTCATTCTCACTTGCTAACGGTCTCTTTCTCTCTCGTTATTATCATAAAAATTCATTCTAACTACCTTCCCACTAAACTCTAGTTCAGTTTCAAAGCATCAGCTCCCATCACTTGTACACAGTCTACTTTGCCCTAGCTCCCCTGGGAAAATTCACAAGAAGTATCTCCTCCTATAACATAAAATCTTCCCTGCTAAACCTATATATCTTCCTCAGCTCTTTCTTTTTTCATTCAACTTATTCCAATAGCAAATTTCATCCATTCTTTCAAGTCTAAGACATTCTATTTTCAAGGGGAGAAATTTTCAGTACCATAAGTTACACAGCAATTAACAGAATGCAAAATAGTTTGCAAATTTTCAAATCACGTAGTATAATTTACTTGTAAGAGTATGTATATTAGACCTACAGTGTTTTACTGGATCCGCTATTAGGGGAGGGACCATCTCGGGAAGGATCCTCGGCTATTTTGATGGCTTCTTCCATGGCTGCTAGAAGGCCATTCCCACCTTCCCCTCTCAAAGCAGGACCAAAACACTCAGGCCTCCGAATGAGCAATCTCACAACAACATTTGCATTTTCTTCCACGCTCTCCCCTAAAGTCACATGAGTAAGATAAGTAAACAAATACTGATTATATAGAAGTTCTGAACAAATAAATGTTATACCAATCATTTCTTATTTATAAAAATGAACAAAAATCAAGAACATACTTATAAAGTCAAAATTAAACCCAAATTACTACTTTTATGTACATAAGACACAGTCAATTTCTTTTCTTGCATTTAAAACTTTCAAAGTAAAGCATTATGGAGGCATAAACTATTTGTTCTCATTAACCTGTTATTGGAAATGATGTTATAATCCTATTATTAGAGTTCAATTTTTAAAAATTATGAGAGGTGAGAAGCCTAAAGATTTTAATTTAAATAATAAATGCACTATCAAAACACATATTGTATTATAATTTACTATGGTAAAAAACCCTACTGATTATAAACTACACAATTTCTTTACTCACTTCCTTCATAAAAATGTTTGAATTAATCCTTACTATATGTACCTACTTATGCAGTTTTAAAAATAACAAAAAGACCTCAAGCAGTCAAGTCCTACCATTACAGAAGACTGCAAATCTGAGAAAGTCAAGATATCTTTCTCCTTCAACTGGATTCCACCCAATGTCTGGATAACCCTTGGACACCAGCATCTGGCAACTTTGCAGTCCACAACCAGCCAAATAACGAACCACCTACAAACAAGATGATCAGTAAGCAGTTAAAATGTCATTGAATGTTTACACTAGATAAGGTAAATGATAACCGGAAAGGATAACCAAAAAAAAAATGCATTTTTGCAAGTTCTTTTTTTTTTTTTTTGAGACAGAGTCTCGCTGTGTCACCCAACTTCTGGCCTTAAGCAATCCTCCTACCTCAGCCTCCCAGTAAATTCTTTTCAATCCCATGACAATCTACTTGCACTCTCTTTAGTAACACCTTACAATGAAGAAACATTTAAATATCATTATGAAGTGTCATCATAATAAAAATATGTATGAACCAAATCTATGAAATAAAAATATTCCTGAATTTCATAGCATTTAATTTGAGACTCTTGCCCACACAAGTCATAATACTGGATAAACTTAAAAAATGTCTAAGGACCTCTGGCCCAGTGTAACAACTGAATCCGTCTGAGATACTGAAAGACCTATCTGAGACACAAGAATATTTTAAAGAATTATTTCCAAAACGATACATCACTTTGATGGAGACACAGGTATGACAAGACACAAAGAGTGAGCAAACCTAAGCTGCTAGTCAAGAATCCATGGTTCAAATCAGACACACACACACTTACTGGACGCATCATTTTGAGCAAGGCACCTATACTTTTTGGACCCATGTTTCAGTATCTAGAAAATCTGTGATAATTCTACCCACTTTTCAACGTTATTGAAATGATCATATTGAATAGGCCTGCCTAGCTTTACCTTTAAAAAAGATGGCTTTACCATAAAAAAGAACAAAATCATGAATCTCGCAGCAACCTGGATGGAACTAGAGTCTATAATACTGAGTGACCTCACACAGAAACAAAGATCCGAGGATCACATGTTCTCCCTCATATAATGGACCTTGAACATCCAATGTAATACGACAAGAAAATGACTGACGGTACTAGGAAACTATGGGGGGGAGGGAGAGGGGATTAACAGTCGCAAATATCTGTCTGGGGCTGGGAAAACACCTCTTATCAACAGGGTGTCTGAATGAAAGGTAATTGTACACCTAACCCTTAACTGTACCCCACAAAACTATAATAAAAATACTGATTAATTATTTTAAAAAAAAAAAAATATGGCTTTATACGAATGTTGGTCCTCTACAGAATTTTATAAGAGATTCAATTTTAAAAGAAATTCTCAAAAAAGTAATTATCAATGGAAATAAGATCGTTACAAGGAGCAACGTATCAAACAAATTGAGTTCAACTTAGCTCAAGTTAAATCAGTTTTTAAAAGAAATAAATAATAGCTAACAGTATTTTATATCAGCTACACTGAGGTATAACTGGTGGAAGATAAAGTCACCAACTTAAAGTATAAATTAATGAGCCATGGGAGATGCATATGCTTATAAAGACGTATCATAATCAAGACGCAGAGCATTTCCATCACTTCTCAGAGCTACCCTGTGGCTTTTGCAGGCTCCTTCTCCCTAGTCCTGAAGAATCTGTCTTCTTTTTTCATGACAAATAAGCTTGTGTTTTCCAGAACATTTATCCATATGACCATGCATGTGTCTCTTTACGCCTGACTTCTTTCATTCAGTTAATGATACAGAGATTCCTTCACGTTGTTGCAGATGTCAGTACTTCATTCTTTTTTATTGGTGAATAGCATTCCACTGTCTATGGGTAGACCACACTTGTTTATCAATTCATACGCTGATGGATATTTGGATTGCTTGCAGTCTACATAATGTGAGAAAGAACTAAGCACAAGAGTAATTCACACAGACACACAGGGCAGGCACGTGGCTTACCTTTTCCAGATCTGGCTCACGCAAAGCTAAGGCTAGTTCATTATTATCCATCACTGAGGCTGCTGCCACATCCAGGGGTGTTGAACCTCTCATAGCTGGTGAGGCTGTTAATTCAAATAAAGATGAAATAAAACCTACATTGTGCTATATTTATAACTACAAATTGCATATAAAAATATAGTAACTCTTAACATTTAATTTCTAAATGCCATACATATTGTACTGATCTAAACTGATTTACGTTAAATCTAAATTTTTGAAAATTTTAATGTTTTAATTGAGATAAAAACTGAACATATATAACATATTTTGAAATATGTATACATTGTAGAATGAATCAATTAGCTAATTAACATACGTATTACCTCACATACTTATCATTTTTTGTATCGTCATTTGCACTCAAAATCTACTGTCTTAATGATTTTCAAGAATACAATCCATTATTATTAACTATAGTCACCATGTTGTACAATAGACCTCTTGAATGGCTCCCTAGTATTTAACGGAAATTTTGTATTCTTTGGCCCTGTCTCTTCTTCCCAACCCCTGGCAACCATCATTCTACTCTCTGCTTCTATTAGTTCAACTTTTTAAGATTTCATATACAAGTGAGATCACGTGGTATTTGTCTTTCTACGCATGGCTTATTTCACTTAATGTAGTATCCTCCAGGTTCATTCATGCTGTTGCAAACAACAGAATTTCCTCCTTTTTAAAGACTGAATAGAATTCCATTGTGTGTATATATACCACATTTTCTTTATCCATTCAACTGTTGGTGGATAATTACACTGACTTCATATCTTGGCTATTGTGAATAATGCTGCAGAGAGCATGGAAGTGCAGATACCTCTGCGACGTACTGATTTTATTTCCTTTGGATAGATACCCGATACTGGGATTTCTGTATCATATGGCAGTCCTAGTTTTCGCTTTTTGAGAAACCTCCTTCCTGTTTCCAAAATGGCTGTACTGACATTCTCATATATAGTGTATAAGGGTTCCCTTTTTTCCATACCCTATTTTTTAAAAATAATAGGCATTCAAACAGGTGTAAGTGGTATCTCATTATGGTTTCGAGTTGCACTGTGCTGATAATTAGTGATGTTTAGCATTTTCTCATATATCTGTTGGCCATTCTTTTGTGAAATGTATATTCAGGTCCTTTGCCCATTTTTTTTTAAAAAAGAAAGTTTAATTTTAGAATGCAATGTGTATGTTACTGTAATTTTAAAGATTAAATAAAAGTCATACATTTACTCACCAAGACCAACACTGCTGTTTTCCAGTAAATAACTGAGATGATCAAACATAGCTTTTTGATTCTGCCTACTTATTCGACAGAAGTAACAGAGAAAACGGCAACAGTTGGCCACCATCTTGGGAAAAGTGATTTCCTACATTAAAAAGCATTTGGTTAGCTGTTGAAGACAAATTGTCTTTACAGAACTGAGTTCAGAAGTTGATGCCTCAATCTATGTGTGCCAAATTTCAGATACTGAAGACCCTCAAATGCACAGACGGCAGACTGATTCACCTCGTCTTTGAGCCACTGAAAATCAAGCCTGTTACTAACTCAGAAACCTCATTACCACCAATGAGTTGAATCTGGAACTAATTTATAGTCCTAAACTCAAAGGTGGCATGAGCTTGGTTTGGGAATTGGGCAGATTCAGTTATAATTCCTGAATATCACTACCAGCGTGGCTTCCTTAGAAAACTGTGTACTCTCTTTGATTTTGCTCTGTAAAATTAGAATAATATGGATAATAATACTTACTGTAGGTAAGAGGGGGAGAAGATTTTTTGAGATAATCTCTGAAAAATATGTGATCAGTTCTTGGTGCCATATAATACGGTGCTCTTTTCAGTGTTAGTAGTGGTAGTAGTATTTATTGATTTGCACCTGCTGAGTTGAGTCCCCCAGAATGGAAGACCTGCAAGGTTGGCCCTACCAAACACATCTCCCTTAAGAGCTAAATCATATCACAGTACCCCCGAGATGCTCCCTGGAGTCCTTCCTCAACAGAATATAGTATATTATGAATATCTTTATAAGTCTAACTGGCAGACAGCCTCAATATAAGAAATACAGACTTGTTTCCACTTTGAGAAAAACACATCTTAATTTAAAATTTAGAAATACGTTTTGTACATGAGAGGTTACAAAATTATACCAATTTATATGAAGTTGTGTAAGTTGTGTGCTACTCTGACAATTTAGTTTTCAAGAACTTTATTTTAAATCATGGGCCACTTATAATTTCACTTTAGAATCTTACAACAAATACTTTCCAGAGCATCATCATCAAACCCAGATCTGGATCAGAAATTAAGTAAAAACAACCAAAATCTGAATCATGAGGAATGGCCAGGTCTGACGAACTTGCTTATGTAACGGACTTTCAGTGTGATGGGAACTGACTTATCATTCAAAACTTAGAAGCAAATTAATACATACACAGCAACATTGAAGTTTCCAAACATCCCTTAACTAATTTAAGAGACAACACATTTCACAGCGTAAGAAAGAAACTTTTAACAATATATGTAGTATATGTAAACTAATAGCACACCCAACCCTCTAAGGCTTATGTGTTTTTCTCAAAAAGTGTTCTTTAAAGAACAGTCCTCCTAAGAGGATTTTAGAAATTCTCATTAGGAACCTGCGATCCGTGCTCTCCAAGAGATTATACTAAATGACATCTCAAGAAGCAAAGATCTTCCTTTACCTTGGACTCTCCACCGCCCAGGACGTTCACCATCACCTCCATCACAGTCTCATGCATGCCCAGTGCCCTCATGAGATTAGGGTGCTGGTAAAACACCTTATTATTCATGATATCCCTAGAAAGGACGATGAAGGTATGGAGGAGCTCAGAGCAAAATTCAAACAGATATTTATCTGAGATTGTAATACATCTTTTAGAAATAATTTACATTAATGAAAAGCAAAAGCAATCATAGTTAAGCCACAAAATTAACGAATGTAATTGTTTTTCTCAAAAATACTGATAGTCTACCAAAAGTGGTATATAAGTTGCCTGTTCTTTTAAAGTATAGGAAAAATACTAAATATGTTAACATTAGTTTATGAAAAATATATTTTGGACACCTCAATTTTATGAATATCAAACATCTGTCCAACCTTCTTTTGTATTAGGACATGAATCAGTGTTATATCATGCTTTGCCTATAAAATTCTTTACATATAAGTATCTCTGCTTTTCCTATGTGCTAATTTTAGTACTACATTCAACATTTGTAAATATAATCACAGTAGTGTTGTTTCCTGTTACATCCATATTATCATTCTGGCAAAATGCTTTCAAAAGTGCATATTCTCCAAGAGAAACTGAATCCGAGTGATGTCCAGGTACAAGTAATTCATTAAAATGAATGTTCAATTAAAAGAACCAGCAGTAAATGATACCTCTAATGGTTCCCATTATTATTACTACACTAAATATTATTGCAATATGTGTGTCAAGGTATTTCTAAGGGTCTTTATGTTCAGGAGAAAGTATCATTCACTGAAAATAAAGAGCTCTGGTGATTTCTATTTCAACATAAACCAAATAAATGCCAATCATCTTTTCTATAAAACATTTTCATGTCAGAGTTATAGCAAGAAAAAAACACACATCCTACCAGAAAATAAAAACTTTTTCCTCAAATTGGTTTTTCTTAATTGAATGGCTCACCTATTCAGTCGCATGCTAAACTTTAGTTATTCTGGTTATATCAAGAAAGTGAATTATATGATTCTCTTATTTATTTATTTATTTATTTTTAATAAAGAGAGCTGTTAGGTCATACAGCTCAGAAAAACAACATGGGGCTGAGAACTAATATAGGCATGACATTTCATGTAAGAACAACCTAAGGTAAAGACAGGCATCTTTTCCCTTTTTGTCTTCTAGTTAATTCAAATCTTTCTGCATGAGGTAACTTTGATTTAAAAACCTTGTTTGCTTTTCGTGTTAGGTAAATTAATAGATTATAATTCTACCAGCCAGTAGTCAGACCATCATTTACCAAGCATGTCTTTTGTGTGAAGAATTTCTAATATCACAAAAAAGTAGTATTTTCTTTTTAAATGTCATTTTGAATTTGATCACTAATGAATGATTTTTCAAAGGAATATATTACTGTTGTGTGTTCATTTAAGAAAGTGATCTCCATTCCTGGAAGGCTTTCTTTTTCGCTTGGTTAATTAAAATCACTTCATAAGAGAGGTTTCCTAAGGTTGGGCATAAATGTTAGTACTCAAATAAGACACATGGACATACAATTATGAAGCTCATAATATTTGCTTTTTTTGTATAGGCTTTTGTTTTCCCTCTTTGTCCCATTAGTATACTATTTTTAGTATGAACCTTTATCATGAATTTGGAATATAACCTTCTGGCTCATTTTTATAATTCCAAATATTTAATAAGACCAAGAGAAATATGCAGTATTGTTTTCTGAGCTTAAAACATACAGAAATGATATTAAATAACATGCATTGTTATACTCTTGTTTTCTTCTTTCAGAATTACTTTTTACTTCTGTCAAAGAAAAAACCTGGTATCCTATTTCATTAGTTATTTTCAAACAATCAACTCTAGGGCTCTTTGATCAACTTTAGAGGTTTTTTGGGTCCTATTTTATTCATGCAGCAGTTCTTTTATCTACTCCTTTTTGTCTGGTTTATAAGGGTTTTTTTTCCTGAATATTTGTCTTCTCTTCACTTTTTAACACTCTATATTCCAGACTTCTGCAATTTCATGTTTAATATTTGTCTTATGAACATCATATAGCTTAAAAAATGAGTTTAAAATCTTTGTTGTTATTTTGGTTCCATCACATTTTCACATCCTCAAATGACACAAGCTTATTAATAATTGCTTATATTTACACATATGTATCTCTATGTATACCCATGGTATATTCACTAAGACTTACTGCATCCCATTCTTTCTTTCCAAATTTCATTTTCTTTTCCTAACATGTACCCTTTAGCATAAAAACTTTAGAAAAGCTTTCACGAGGGACTATAAGCAAATATTCTGACATATCTTTATTTTGTCCTCACTACTGAATATAGGGTATAATAACCCTCAAATCCACAAGAAGTAACAAGCTCATGATGGTGAAACCTCGGAAGAATCGTTCCCCTTCCTCTTCCCAAGGCCCAGTGGAAACAGACAAGCTTCTGGGGGCGGGGGGCAGGGAGGGAGGGAGAAAAGAAAAAGACAAGTTTCCTTATTACTTCCTGTTGGTATTTTCTAACACTCACTATGGATTTCAATGTGTCTTTATTGTCTGGTGTTTTTACCTATGATTGTACATTACTGAGGGATTTAAAAAAACACACAATAAGATATTGGCTGTGTGTCATGTCACGTTAGCATCCAGCTGTCAAATTAGTCATGTTTTGTTACTGAGCAACTTTATTTCGTTTAAAAGCATCATCTCTAGAAAAATCACTATCTAATTTAATGATCTTACAAACCAGACAGTATATTGGCATTCATGTATGCACCTACTATAATAAAAAACTGGAACAAAAAAACGATAAGACAGAAGGTTATAATCGTTAAATAATTTACCCTAATCCGCGAATCATAAGCTTCTCTTCTTCTTTGCCCATTCTCACACTCAGCAGAGAACGAATCTGACCAAGAGATGCCAGCAGATTTATGGTATCCTCCACGGAGACACCGTTTATAGTGTAGGTCTTTGGCAGAGCCCGGACCAGACCCCCAATACCATCGTACTGCCGATGGAGCAACACAAACATGGCTCTCACCAACTCAGGGTCTTCAATGACAGACTCTTGAGCCCATCGAACCATAGTCTCTGAAATCAACTGCTGCAGAGTGGCTGCAAAGTCATTACAGATTTGTTTTTTAAAGGAAAATAAGAAAAAGACAAATCAGTTGGACATTTTAATGTCATATCCTATAGCCCCAAACTAGTAACTCTAGTTGCACTAGAATTGAAAAGGCTAGAAATATTCTTGGAAGAAAATAAACTTAATTTAAATCTTATATATAGTTTGATAAAGATCGGCTATGGTCATGCAAGGATAAAAATATATAAATCTTTCTTTAGAAATCATTCTTAAAATTTAATAAGCTACTTCAAAGTTGCACTACTTTTTCAAAATTACTATTGGCCATCCATAATTCATTGAAAGTATGGCAATTAATATGATGTGCCCGTTACTTTTATTTTTTACTTTTTTTGTTTCGTTCCACTATTTTCCTCCCAGTAGGTCTGACATCATTTATCTTTATAAAGGTCAGTCATGGACATTCAAGGAGGTATCTGTTCACCCAGCTGTCTCCTCAGTTGAGTTATCTGCAATAATGACCACGTGTAATTATATTTCTACTTAAATTGGAATCCCTATTTGTCACTTAAAATAGAATTCTTCTAAAGGATTTGATTGTGAAGATTGTATTAAAGTAAAAATGCTATTTCATACATAGAAGATTACTTGCAATGTAACATGAAATGTAGTACACTTAAAAGCCACAGAAATTTCCAAGCCTCTTAGGACAAATAGTAAAATTATCAAAATTAAGTGGGGTTGATGTGACAAATTCATACATAGCAAGGTATCTAATTCCTATAATTAATATGCTGGTTGAGTTTTAAGAGAAGTTGTTTAACTTGCATCTAGAAATGACTTAAGGAAAAATAAAAACTTAACTCCCAATTTTAGCCAAATACAAAACGCAAATGCCAACATATTTCCATATATCTCAAAACTATGCTGTCATTTTAATAGGTCAAGATCATAATCTTGATAATATCTAAACATGATCCATAAGAAACTCTGATTTTAAAAATGACCTGACTCGAATTTGATTGTGAAACTGAAGAATAAATTTCGAAATAATTGTATGTATAAAAGTTTTTCTACTGTAAGTTAGTAAGAACAAAAGCTTCACAAATTTTAGGGAGTTGACTTTTTTTTCTTTCAGAAAATGTTGTTAATAAAACAGTGCTACATCTTAAAACCAATTAAGCCTTAAAAATGAGATAATAAGTAGGCTGGATCTCTCAGACTTAATCAATATGCCCTGTTCAAAGAGACTCACTGTCCAAGAGTGCTTATTTGGTTTCATGGAGTAGTAGCAGTTATTCTTAAACAGGAGACAGATGAACCAGAAATGCATAACACTTTAGGAAGTATTTCAGAACCAAAATATAGTTGTGGGAAATATGTATTTAATTATTATTATTAGTTTTGAGTTGGAGTCTCCCTCTGTTGCCCAAGCTAGAGTGCAGTGGCACACTCACAGCCACCCCAGCGTCGACCTGCTGGGCTCCAGCGATCCTTCTGCCTTAGCCTTCCAAGTAGCCGGAACTATAGGCATGAGCTACTACACCTGGCTAATTTTTTATTTACTGTAGAGACACGGTCTCACCAAGTTGCCCAGGCTAGTCTCGAACCTGCAGGCTCAGGCAATCCCCTTACCTCGGCCTCCCAAAGTGCTAGGACTACAGGCTGAGCCACCGAGCTCAGCCTTATTTAAATTTTAAGAAAAAGGCTTAATTTGATGCAATAATACTTGAAAACCAACCACATACTATTTAGTTATGAAGGCTAAATTGCTATACTCTCTTTATACTTTCTCCTGGTAGTCTTAGATCAAATATGCAATTTTTTAGTACTCTTGGAAGACCACTCACCCCTATAATGCTGCTAACTCTCAACCTGTTGCTACAGATAATAGCTTGATGCTGCCGTTCGGGGAGCTACAGGCATATATTTAAGAATCTAACTCTTGGAAGACGCAAACTCAGTTTTATCACTGGCTCATCCAGTAGCATGATACTGGTTCAAAGGATGAATAAATGTCAGTGGGCAACTCATTTTGCCATTGCCCTTTCATACTGCTTACAGGACTTCTTGGAGTCACTCTCAACTTGTTTTTCTGCTTGTTTCTTCTTCAGGTATGTCACCTTTTCTACCAGGGACAGTAGGCGTCCTCTAATTGTTAAATCACTATTTCCATCCAGAGACCCATCTTCATCCAGCTCAATTCCTAGTATGAAAAAGAAAAAAAAAAAGTATTTAAAAATATCCACAGGCTTTGAAATTATGACCACTCATAACTTAGTAATGTCTAAAATAGTTGACAACATAAAGTTAAGCAGCCTTGCCTACCAGTGCTCATAATTAAGATTCACTTATCAGTTCTTTTCCACCCTTCTTTTTTCCCCTGTTCCTAAGAGTTCAGGGCTATCACCCAGGACCAAATATAAAACTGAGCAGAGCCCAAAAAGACTCTCTTGGGAGCGAAGTCCAATTTTGCTATTTGGGCTGACCCTTTGACACCTCTGACTTCAGACACTGTCTGCCTAGACCTAGGTCTATAGTCCTGTCCTGCCTAAAACCACCCTTGGATTTAAGTTCTCCTTCCATCTCCCCAAAATTTTAGTATTATATGATATTCTGATAAGTCGAGAAACAGAACATGCAGTAATTAGGAACCCTAAACCAGAGAATGCTTTATATCTGGAGCAACAATATTACCATTTTAGAGTATTCCTTTTTTTATAGTATATGTGTATGTGTCCCCTTCTTATACATACATACACACGTGCGCACACACACACATTATAATTTTCTGTCGGTCATTTATTGGTTCTTCTCCTAAACTAATTAATATGCAGGCTGGTATTTTTATCTTCACTAAAATAAAATAAAATAAATATAATACCACATGTGCCATATATGTGTGTATATTATACATACATATTTAAATACATTCTTCATATATATAACTTATAAAATAGCTAATTCATTTTCTTTCATTGACTCACCAGACCTTACCCACACGACTGCATAAAAGAATAAAGAGCTACACATCCAGAACATCTAATCAATTCCATTTTTAAGGTTTTTGAGGAAAAAAAGGAGCAAAGATTTCCCTTAATAGATTTGGACTGCTGACATGTAGCACAATGCAGACCTTTCCTGGGCATTCACTAATTTCAAAATATATAGTCTGAATTTCTTAGGCCAGTGCTAAAAACTGGTCCCGTAACCGCTTTAAACACAACTGTATGTAATTAAATTTTTTTCTTAAAAAATAACAGCTTTATTAAGGTATAACTGATAGACAAAACTGCCCATATATAATGTGTACAATTTGATGAGTTTGGACCTATGCATACACCGTGAAACCACTGCCACAATTAGGAATAGACATAAATCCATCACCTATATGTTTCCTTGTGCGTCTTTGGTTTTTGTTTCTTTGTCTGCTTATCATTATTGTAAGAACATTAACATGAGATCTATCCTCTTAGGAAAGTTTTAAGTGTACAATACAGTATTGTTAACCATAGGCATGACGGTGTCTGGCAGACCTCTAGAACTTATTCACTTTGTGTAGTTAAAACTTCCATTGTCTAAACCAACCTAACACTTTGCACCTTTCTTTCAGAAGAACCTGGCTACGTGTCCCCATGCTCCTTCCTCTTCCCTGTCACTGAGGGAAAGAGGAAGAAGAGAGAAAGAATTCTGGTCATCTTCTGCTCAATCTTATTACCTCTCTCTATCCCTCGTCACTTTCTCACAGAACAGTTGGTTAAGCATTTCACCATAATAAATATTCTTACATGAACTTCCAACAGTTTTGTGTATATTTGTGAACATAGTCACCTATATATTCAATTTGATACCACTAATTGCGGATTAAAACACATATTTAATAAGAGTTATAAATCAATAAGACCTTACCACAGTGTGTCATCAAATCTTCATGGAAATCCAATAGTTGGTCACGTATTTCTTCAGGACATGGACATTCACTTTTGTTATCCTTAAAATTGAGAAGCATATTAATCTGAAAGGTGGAAAAATAAGAAAGAGGAAGAATGAGAGAGAAAAGAAAGGTACATTCAAGAACGGCACAGAAAGAATCATAAAATAAAAGATATTCAATGTTTTTTAATGTTCATAGATTATTGTTCAACAGGTGACAAAATCACTACCTATCATTCAATCCAATCTGTATCACAAAATAAACCAAATGATTCAAACCTTAACAAGTTGGTGGATTTATGTCTATTCCTAATCCAACTAGTATCACAAAATTAATCAAATAACCCAAAACTTAAGAGTCCTATAATGTTGCTTCCTCTTTCTCAATTCCACATATGTTGAACTCTTGTGTACTTTTAGAATCCTTAACTAAGAGATTTAAATGCTATTGTTAAAAAATATTTTATTCTGCTGAACCTAAATCTTCATTCATAACTAGCTAACATCTATACTTATCAGAGTATTTAAAAGAACCCTTTGAGAAGGATACAGCTGCAATAAAGAAGGAAAAATCAAAATATAAATCAAAATGAATACAGGCTGAGTATCCCTCATCAAAAATGCTTGGGACCAGAAGTGCTTCAAATTTTTAAATTCGGAAACAAAGTTGTCTCTTGGTTTGTGGGGGACAGATTCTAGGAGCCACCCTCCTGCCTTCCACCATAGACACCAAAATCTGTGGGTACTCAAGTCCCTTAAATAAAATGGCATTGAAATTTCATACAATCTATGCACTTCCTGTATACTTTAAATAATCTCTAGATTACCTATAATACCTATTACAATGCCTACACGTCACTTTAGTCCCATGGATTTAACACAGTACTCAGTGCACAGGAAATTCAAGTTTTGCTTTTTAGAATTTTGTGGATTTTTTTTTTTCTTTTCCAACTAGTTTCAATCTACAGTAGGTTGAATCCATGGATGAGGAACCCAGGAATATGGAGGGCTGAGTGTATTTGCATACACATAATGAAATACCTTGGGGATGGATCCCAAGTATAAACACAAAATTCACTTATGTTTTATGGACTTATATTTCACTTATGTTTTATATGCCTTACACACATAGGTTGAAGGTATTTTTATGCATAAAATAAAGTTTATATTAAGTACTTATGTGTAGAATTTTCCACTTGTGGCATCATGCTAGTGCTCAAAAAGCTTCAGAAGCCGGGCTCGGTGGCTCAGCCTGTAATCCCGCGCCTTTGGGAGGCTGAGGTGAGTGGATTGTCTGAGCCCGCGGGTTCAAGACCCGCCTGGGCAGCAAGACCTCATCTCTACAATAAATCAAAAAATCAGCTGGGCGTGGTAGCACATGCCTGTAATTCCGCCTACTCGGAAGGCTGAGAAGGAAGGATCGCCGGAGCCCAGCAGGTCGAGGCTGCGGTGGCCGGGAGCGGCCACTGCACTCCAGTCTGGGCGAGAGTGAGACTCCAAATCAAAAAAAAAAAAAAAAAAAAAAGTTTCAGATTTTGGAGCTTTTCAGATTTCAGATTTTCCAATTAGGGATGTTCAATCTTTATACAGGATAACTACACTGTTGTTAACATTAAAGTTCCAATTAAACTAAATAAAACTTCTATTTGTTTTAGCTTTAAAAGTAATAACATTAAATTATTAAATTTATGAATGAAAGATGCTTTCCCATAATTGTCCTTTAGAAAATTATTTTGTTATCTTTTTGCAGTTTTTTAAATGTCTTTTTTGATAAACTTTAATTTGGAGTTAATTGTAGATTCACATGCTATTGTAAGAAACAACATAAAGAGACCTCACATACCCTTTACCCAATTCCTTCAATAGTAACATTTTGCAAAATTGTGTTGTAATATCACAATCAGGATAGCAACAACGAAGCAGTCAACATATAGAACAATTCCTTTGCCTCAGAGAATCCCTCTGTTACCCTTTTATGATTACACCCCCTTGAGAGAGGAGATAGCTAGAGAAAAGCTAGGCAGACAGACAGGGTGGGTCCCCTGTAACAAGGTAGCGAACTTCCAGCAGGCCTCTCCAGCTTATACACTCCCATTGGTAAATAAGCTCCCTAAGAGCCTATCAAGCTAGAGCTTAAGTACTCATTGCTGGAATGGAAAAACAACCAATCAGCTCATTGCCTTGTGGCCTACCACCTGCTGATTGGTCCTTAGTACTGACCAACCAGCAAAGCTAGTGCTGACCCATCAGCTCCCAGCTAGTGCTAGCCAATGGGCTAGGTCTTAGGGTTACATAAGCACCAGGGTCCAGCCCCAAACTAGCACACTCCTCGGTTCTCCTCCCACTGTGGGTGCTTTTCTGTCCTCTCAATAAATCCTGCTGTCTCAGTTTTCCGGCCATCTGTCCCTCATTCCTCCTGAGCACGAGACAAGAACCCTGACCTGAAGAGCTGTGCATCCCGGAGGCTGGCTTACCAGTCCACAGAGCCAGCTGAACTGGGAGAGCTGTAGCAGAAGGCAGGACTCTGAAGTTGAGACATTTTTGGGAGCTGCAACATTTTCAGGGCTTGGCTTGGCCTACCAGCCCATTAGAGCCAGCACTCCTGAGGAGGGCGAGGCTTGCCAGCCCATCAAGTTGACCCTCTCTGGGGCTTGGTTGGCTGACCCATTGAGCTGATAGTCTCAAAGCCCAGGTTGACCTGAAAAATCCGTGTGACCCTGTCCTTCCTGTCTGTCTCTAATGTTTCCATCTCTGTTTTTGTAATTTCAAGAATGTTATAAAAATAGAATCATATAGTATGTATGTTTGTATTCCCATATAATCCTTTTTAAAAGGATATTTATTTAATTGACAATATTAATTGTATGTATTTATGTATGGTGTACCATGTGATGCTTTGATATATGTATACATTGTGGAAAGATTAAGATAATTAACATATTCATTACCTCACCTACTTATCTGTGTGTGTGTGTGTGTGTGTGCGCGCGCGCGCACATGTGTAAGTGTGGTGAGAACAAAAATCCAATATCATTCCTTTGATGTCACCAGGATCTGTAGTAATGTCTCATTTCATTCCTGATATGAGTAATTTTGTCATCTCTCTTTTTGTCAGTCTTTTTAGAAGTTTATCTATTTTATTTTATTTATTTATTTATTTTTTTGAGTTGGAGTCTCACTCTGTCGCCCAGACTGGAGTGCAGTGGCCGCTCCCAGCCACCGCAGGCTCAACCTGCCGGGCTCTGGCGATCCTTCCGCCTTAGCCTTCCGAGTAGCCGGAATTACAGGCGCGCGCTAACACGCCCGGCTAATTTTTTGATTTTACTGTAGAGATGAGGTCTCGCCTGCCCAGGCGGGTCTCAAACCCGCGGGCTCAGGCAATCCACTCACCTCAGCCTCCCAAAGGCGTGGGATTACAGGCTGAGCCACCAAGCCCGGCCTTATTTTATTTATCTTTTTAAAATAACCAGCTAACCAGCTTTGGATTCACTGTTTTGTAAAAACATTGGCCTGTTTTGGTTTCATTGATTTCTGCTCTTATTTATGTGAGGGAGTTCTTTCTGACTGCTGAGTTTATTTTACTCTTTGTATACTAAATTCTTGAGGTGGCAGCTTATATGATTAATTTTAGTGTTTTCCTTTTTTTTTTTAAATGTAAGCATTTAGCATTATAAATTTCCCAGTCAGTACTGCTTTAGCTATAGCACAAATTTATATATGTGAAATGTTCAATTGCTTTTGGTTTAATGGACTTTTTAATTTCCCTTGAGACTCCTCAAACCTCAGACTATTTAGTGTGTCAGACTCCTCAAACTTCAGACTCTTTGCTTGGTGTCTAAGAGTTTGGAGATCTACTTATCTTCTGTTACTGATTTCTAATTTAATTTCAATGTGGTCAAAAAAATCTGCATGATTTCACTTTTTAAAAAATTGTTGAGGTTATTTTATGTCTCAGAATCTGATCCATCTTTGCAAATGTTTCACAGATACTTGATGAGTGTGGATTCTGTTGTTGGGTGGAGTATTTTATATGTCAGTAGATCCTACTGGTTGTTGATTGTGTTGAGTTTTCCTGTAGTCTAGCTGATTTAAGTGTTTAGTTATCCTATCAATTATTGAGAGAGGAGTATTGCAATCACCAATGAAATTTATGGATTTGTCTATTTCTCCCTTCAGTTCTATTATTTTGGGCTTCACATATCTTGTTGCTCTATTGTTCAATGGGTATACATTTGTCTTCATTGTGAAGTGACCCTTTACCATTATGTACTGTTTCTGTCTCCTTGACAATTGTCTGCTCTGAAGTCAATTTTGTGTGATATAGTCACTCCTACTTTCTTTGGATTATTTTTTTCCTACTTCTTTCTTCAACCTTTCCTTTTCAACCTATGCGTATCATTATATTTGAAGTAAGTTTCTCATAGGCAGCATATAGATGAATTGAGTTTTTAAAATTCACCCTACCGATTTCTATCTTATAATTGTATATTACATTATTTACATTCATGTAATTATTCATATTCTCTGAATTAAGTCTGTCACATTTTACTTGTCATTTTGTTTGTTCTATTTGATGTATTTTGCCTGATACTGAGGGTTACTTGAACAATTTTTAGAATCCCATTTTGACTTATCCATGGTATTTCTCAGTCTATCTCTTTGCATAGTGTTCTTGGTGGTTACTCTGGATATAACTTTATATATACATAATTTAAATAGTCTACCGGTATCAACATTTTAACAGTTTGAGTGAAATGTAAAAACTTTATTTCCCTGTACATCTCTTTATTGTCTTCTATTTATAATATAATTGTCTTAAATATTCCTTATACATACACTCAGAACCATATCAGACAGTTTTATAATTTTTGCTTCAGCCATCAAATATAATTTAGAAAACTCCAGAGGAGAAGAAAAGTGCATTGTATTTACCCATATTTTAACACTTTCCGTTGTTCTTTCTTCCTTCCCAATTTTCTAAATTTCCTTCTTTTGTCATTTTCTTTCTGTTTAAAAGACTTTTTTCAACATTCTTTTAGGGTAGATCTGCAGCAATCAAACTCTCATAATTTCCTGTCATTTAAAAATGTCTTACACTCCCCTTCAGGATATTTTCATGGCATATGGAAGTCTAGGTTGACAGTCCTTTTCTTTTAGCACATGAAAAATTTGTACCACTTTCTTCTGGCCTCTCCATGCTTTCTGATAAGAAATCTACTGATCCTCAGTGATTTTTTCCCTTTGTAGGCAAAGTATCATTTCTTTTAAGACTTTGTCTTTAATTTTCAGAAATTTGACTATGATGCTTCTTGGTATAGATTTCTTTGGGTTAATCCTTTGCAGGACTTACTCACCTTTTTGAATCTCTAGCTTCATATCTTTTGCTGAATTTGAAGTTTTCAGCAATTATTTCTTTAGGTTTCCCTCTTTGGTCTATCCTCTGAGTCCAGTGTCACAAACGTGAGGTCTTTGTTTATATTCACACTCGTCCTCGAAGTTCTGCTTATTTTTTTCAGTCTATTTTTTCTCTCTTCTTCAACTGGGGTAGTTTTTATTGTTCTCTCTTCAGTTCACTGCTTCTTTCCTCTGCCCCCTCCATTCTGCTATTTAGTCCATTCACTGAGATTTTAAAATTTCAGTCACTGCATTTTTCAGATTTACAATTTCCATTTGGTTCTTCTTTATCTCTTTCATTTCTGTGATGAGGCTTTCTATTTTTTTCTCCACTTTGAAGCATGTTATGATGGTTGCTTTCAAAGCTTTGTCAGATAATTTTAATATCGCTGTCATCTCAGTGTTGATGTTTGCTGATTATCTTTTTTCATTCTAGTGTTTCCTGGTTCTTGGTATAAGTGATTTTTAATTCAGATTGAAATCTGTATATTTTGAGTCTTGTATTACGAGCTCTAATCTTAGTTAAACCTCTGTTTTAGCTGGCTTCCTCTGGAACCATCCATCAGGAGAAGGCTTAAGGTACCTCACTATGGCCAGGTGGGAGGGAAAGTTCATTTCCCCACTCAGCCTCCTTGGACACTCGGAGGAAGAAGGTGACCTTGTTACTGCTGGACAGGGGGAGGAGTTGTGGGTTCCCCACTAAACCTGCAGTGATACCACCCTTTCTGGAAAGCGTACGAGTGCCTTGTTACTTTTCTTTCCATGGATTCTATCGACACTTTGTAAGGGATACGCCTGTTATCATTCAGTCGGACAAAAGGCCCAGTGCTCTCCTCCACTGGGAGGAGACATAGCCTGGTGAGGGTATAAGTCATGATTTCCCAGCTAACCTGTGCTGAGTGAGAGTAGGGCACATATTTCTGGGGTTTTGGCTAGTGTAGTGGAGCTATGATCTAAAAAATTTCTGTTCTTACTAAGCAGCCCCTTTCCTGATTCTTTGGCCAGAAAGAGCAGGTTTTGTTGCGGCTTTTCTTGTCTATGCTTGTTGGTGTTTCCCAGTTGCTGGCTTCTTTGGCTCCAAATCTGGGATAGATGAGGCAAAAAGAAAACCCAGGGAACTCACCACCATGTCGTTCCTTGGGTCTCAAGTTCCGTAGCCAACCTCTCTCTTCTCTCTTTCAGAGTCTTCTTATGTTGTCTTATATGTAATGTCCAGGGTTTTAGTTGTACTTAGAAGGAAGAATAGGGAAAAGCACATGTACTCCATCTATCCAGAAGCAGAAGTCTCCCGACAGTAGTTTAACAGACCGAGTTAATCTGGAAGAGGCTGGACTTGTTCTCTGCTCAATAAATGCTGTTTATAGCAATAAAAAAAATATTCCATGTCTCTTCCCTCAAATAAATTACATTCTGGTGAGAGAATAAATTCTGTAATTAACCCCTAAACACATTCTGAGCTAACTAGGATACACTGAGGATAAGTAAGGGAACTATATCAAAAAAGACATCTCTGAGCGACATCATTTTAACCATCACCGTTATATCTTGGTAATTCCCCACACTCTGAGTCCCACCACAAGGTAGATTCCAGAAAATTCACATCCCCAAACTAGGTCATTCTCAGATTCAGGGCTGTCACCTTGGTTCTGCTATATCTTAAGAAGATCCAGATTTGTAGGCGAACAATGAGAGGAAGAACCACAAACAGGGTGATCAATCTTCCGGCAAGCGAGGTGGCAGAAACATTTGATATTTTATAGGCAACCCAAATAGAAAGCTTCTAGAATTAAGCCCTAGATATCAAGGGGTGATAAAGACCCATCTTTAGTTGAATCTTGTGCCTATTTGCAAAACTTCAGACTGGCATCCTAATTTTCTCAAGGATTCTGTGATATACTTGATATCTTTTTATAAGTACCTCTTTTGTTTAAACTAACCAAATGGATGTTTTTGGTGAAACTAAGAATACCAACTAAATTAATCTGACTAATTTAAACAGAATAGGAAGAAATAAAAAACACTTGCAACTTAGGATATAATTTTGCAATGTGCAGATCCTGAATGAACTAAAAACCAAAATAAAATGGAAGAATTTTCATTTCATTCTTGCTTGTACCTGTTCTTGAGGTGGTGATCTAAATTCCTTTGTTTTCCTGGCTGTGAGTGCCGCTGACATGTTTAAGGCTTGCATGACTTCATTATATCGGAAGCGTTGATTGTCTTGGAGCTTAGCGACAAAGTCATCTGAAAAGGCTACAATGGCTTCTATCCGGTGCCGGACCTGGCAGTCACAGAGGTATTGAAGCAGCAGGCACATCTGAGGAAAGGATTAAAAAGTCACCAAATTTAATATCTGAATTCTTATTAGTTAATGTATAGCAAATCATAATTAGTGGTCAATGTGCCTGGTTGCCTATTCTTCCTCCTTAGAAACGAAATCCTCATTTTGTGTAGGCAGCAAAGAGCTCCATCCCAGGAGATAAAACATAATTTGTCTAAGTCAAAATGGAAAATATATGTCCCTTCAGTGAACACCTACTCTCCTGGCCTTTCTTTCAGGCCACAGGTGCTATGGTTAATGATATATATAAGGAGAGGTTTGCTAAGAGTCTTCTAGGAAAGATTTTTCATCATTAATAACAGACTAGAATGTCCATCTTTCAAAATGAGCATAACTGGGTTATGACATGATCACTGGAGGAAAAACAAGGTGACACAACTGAGGGAGAAAACCACAGGCTGAGGATACCAAGGAAGAAAGATACTAAGATCTGGGTCCCCGATGACATCACTGAGCTACTGCAGCAGTTCCAAAACTTCAAACTTAAGTTTGAAAATTAAGCAGTGAATGCTTGCTTATTCATCAAATGGTTAGTTGGTTATTCTCTTACTGAAAGTCAAAAGGATTTTTACCTGAGACAGTGTACTGGTAAAACATGCGTGAAAGAGAATGCTCTGTCAAGTTTTGAAACAGATGCACATATGCTCAATACTAATTGTGATATAAATACAGGGCAGAATGTAAGAGGACTTTAAAATCCTATATGTCACCATCCATGATATAATCATTTCAGTGTTGGCTCTGAAGTAGCCCCAGTGTCCATGCCTCTTTCTCCATCTCCTTTGGCCTACCCTGGTCTGAGCACAGACCCCGAGAGTCTGGACCAGCATGACAGTTCCTGACTAGCCAGATGCTGGACCTGCTCTCTTTCACCACATATGTTTTCCTCTCAGTAGCAACACTGGCTTTTTCCTGCCTCAGAATCTTTGCCAGGCTATTTGTTTGGTGTGGACAGCTCCTGGAACACCAAGCCTCCCTCCCTCTTCTTTGCACCTACTGAGCTCAGCTCTTCAATCTGACCTCAGCTGAAAAGTCTCCAAGGGGCTGTTCCTTACCTTTCTAACAGGAATCCAGTTTAAATTTTTTCTTCTAATAATCCATTATTTTTTTCTGTGCATTTAGTGCAATTAGCAATAAGATACTTTAAAAGAAATGCATAAATGAGTGTGTATTTCCCCAGAGACTGTGAGCGTCTGGAAGGCAGGGCTCACATGTGTTTCCTTCTCCCAGCACCAAGTGCATGGCCCAGAGAAAGACTTCAGTCAATGAAGGATTGAAGAGCAAAAAGACAGTCAATGATGCTAATATCAGTTTGACTCTAATAAACAGAAGGGGCATTAAGGAAGAATCCTGCAGATGTCTTAATGACCAAAAGGCAGGTAATGTCTTTAATGCCTTAGAAACAAACTAAGGGGGAAAAATCTACATGAGAATGGGCACATCTACTGGTGAACAAGCATTCCCAGGTTGGCAAAAGTGGAGGTGCGGCTAGAAAGGGGTATTTGCTGCCTTATATTTCAGGCATTCCAACATAATGAAGGAGAAATGCATCTTTAGGAGCAGGAAGAGAGATAAAAGGAAACTGCTAATAAATAGGAAGCAGAAGAATAGAAGGCTGGTTATTTTTATGAAGAACTACCACTATACAGAACCACAAGCAAATATACCCATGCACACACACACATAACGAGACAAAGGCAAATTTCAATGTATTCATACTTAGCAAATCTGAAACTCACTCAAGTCACTTTTTCTGGTTACCTGCAGTTTAACTGGCTCTGGCAGTTTCATTTGGAGCAGGCCTTCCTTGGGCCTTTGACCCCCTTTGGCTTCTTCCTCAACAGCTCCTTCCAGCTTCGGGTCTTCCACACTAAGCTCTTTCTCCAGAGGGTCACTCTCCTCCTCCGGAGTGGCAGCTTCTTTAAATACACTGGGCTCAATCAACTGCAAGATGTGCTTCAAGTCCTCATTGTGAAAGATGCCCATGATCAGCAGGGTATAGAAAAGTTTGATGAGAGGTACGAAGAGGAATTCAGTGGTCCCCCCAACTGGGTCCCGGGCATGAAGACTGCCTTCTTTCACAGCTTCTGTCAGCATCTGTATAGTTTTGGCCTTGAGGATGTCCAGTGGGAACTCTGGACTGTACTGGTAGCACTCATTACTAATGCTCACAAAACTGGGGGAGGAAAACTGCATCCGTGGCCTGAGGGAAGTGCTGAGGCCAATCCCCGGGAGGCCATGCTTCTTGTTCTCATCAGGGAAAAGGGTGATGCTCTTTGTCTCCTCTGTCATGGGTACAATGAACTCATTGTTCATCATGAGTCTGGCAGTGGCATAGGAACTCAGGTGGATGTCAATCAGCAGGTCGTAGTAGCCGGTGCGCAGCAAACCAGGCATGTACTTGTTCTCAATGGCATAGAGGAGCTGAGGTTCATCCACATGGCTGCACAGGGCATGGGCTACCCGGTGGTTCCCAAGAGCACAGACGGCCGAGTAGAGGCGGAGAGTGTGATAGTGAAATTTCAGCAATTCCTCCTGCTCTGTCAACTCTAAGATGTCAACAGATCTGTAGAAGGGAGAAGGACAGGAGGAACAACACTGGAAATGGATAATTTTTAAAACTCTGAACCAGAGGAGAAATTTGTATACATTGTAAATTTCAGTTAGGGGACCTGACACTGCAGGTTGAACATCCCTCATCCGAAATGCTTGGGACCACAAGAGTTTTGGATTTTAGATTTTTTCAGATTTTGGGATATTTGCATTATATTTATTGGTCGAGCATGTCAAATCAGAAAATAAATACAAAATGCTTCAATGGGCAGGACTCACTTTGAAGGTCATGTCAGCACTCAAAAGGTTTCTGATTTTAGAGCATTTCAGATTTGGGATTTTGGGATTTGGTATGCCCAACCTGCATCTTTTTCTTTTAATGTTCTTTGATGTGTTTAATGGTTGCATAGTTTTTTTAAACATCACTTGTAGATGTTTGCCAAGTTTTCTTCTACAGAGAATTTGACATTCACTTAGGATCTCCTTGGTCCTCTACTGTACCAAGGCTCTGGGCACCTCTTTTTGATACCTGGGATTTCCCTCCTTTCAGAATTTGAGAACTCTTTGGAAAATGTCTAATCTCCTTTTTCAACTGCCTAATCTGGTTCAAGAAGCCAGAAACCTTTGCTTAGGCTAGGCTGCCCTTGTTTCTGCCCTAGGATTACGGTACTATTAATAGCTCAACTCGTCAGAAGTAGGTGAACAGAGCACTGATTCCTCTGACACAATTCTCCCTCTTGTGCATTCCTCACAGACCCAAACATCTCCTGCCAGAGCTGCCCTAGCTTGTACCCAGGTATTCACAACTCATGAAACAAACACTGTTAATGATATTTTCTACTTAGCGAAATAAAGAGCACCAGAAATTTCTAGTAGAGTCAGAGTTTACACTGGGCTCTTAACTCAGGTCATTTTGCTTCTACCACATATCACACTCTTTCCATGCACAAAACCTAAAACATACGGCCAGACTATGCCTAAAGTCAAGACATTCCCTTTAAAGCACATAGTTCTCTTGGGTGCACTGATGTTTTCTAAATTATACAGATTGTTCACAGGTGACACTGCAGCATTAAAAGAACGTTGATATAGTTATAATCCAAGCTCATTCATCCATCTAGAAAGGTGCCCTTAGTGAGACTTAGTACTTCCATTCATGACAGCAAGGATGAAAACAGTGCCTAAAAGAGTACCTAGCACACAGTAGGTGCTGAGCTTTGTCATCGAACTTAGGTATGCCACCATCCTATCCATGCCCATCTACCCTATAATTGCTTTCCAAGTCACAGGCATTCTATTAAAAACCACCGTGCCTTGATGATGCAGAGCAGTTCTAGTCTTACCTCTCAACTCTTAGAATCAGAAGCTTCATGTATTACAAACGAAAAGCAAATAATTACTCTCAGGTGGCATGAAGCTTCCAGGAACCCACACAACTGCTGGGCTCAGACGCTAATACTCAGTTCTTGGAAAGGAATAATCACGCAAGTTTCCCCCATTAACCCATATAGTGTAGTGGGCAATGACTCCCTTGTCTTAGCTGAGTTCTTCATTTCCCAAGAAAATTATAATCCTACCCATCAGCCTGGCTGATGGTCAGTATATACATAGATCTGTTCATCGTAGCAACACAGAATGTCCGTACTCAAACAAGCTAGTCTACTGTCAAATTTCTCTAAAGATGTTCGTTGCTAGAAGTAACACATAAGAACACAATGGTCTGCATTGTTACTGCACTGTCCAAACCATTCATTCCCCTCACATCATGACACCATGTTCTTTTCTTTAAAATAAAACCCTTCAAGGGTTTCATGCTACTACAGCATGAAACCCTTGAAGGGAAGGTCATGTCTGTTTTTTTTTGCCATTTTATAGTCAGTGACAGAAATACAGTGGGAACTAAATCATGAATGAGGAAAGAAGTCCAAGGGAGGTGATGCCATCTATATGTTTCTCTCTTACAACTTTTACACTCAGGTCAAGGGAAATCAAGGTATTCGCTTACACTAAATTAGTTTGTCTTCTCACACCAACCCTTCGTAGAATTACTCATGTTATAATGAACTATGGCTTGAACTCAAAGATAGCAAAAGAAACAACTCATTATTTTATTCAAGGGCAATACCAAAGGTATCAGCTGGTACCTTTCTAGCATTGCTATAGATTGCATTATTGTCCTCAACCACCTTCCTTCTTTCCTGCAGATGGAGTAATCTTACCTGTCCTACTTATTTTGGACTTGAGCACTTGGCATGTTTTGGTCAATAAACTGTAAGTAGACATAACATCTGCTATAACCACAAAGAAACTCTCAGAGAGCTTACTATCCAGTTGAGGAGGGAAACTATCCCCAATTCCAAAATAGAGTAAATTAAATTATAAACTGTGATAGGTGCAAAGTATGTACTGATATCATATACTACCATTGCAAACTTTAAAATAGTAATGATGGCTACTTGGAAGGCTGAGGCAGAAGGAGCACCAGTGCCCAGCAGGTTGACGCTGGGGTGGCTGTGAGTGTGCCACACTCTAGCCTGGGCAACAGAGTGAGACTCCAACTCAAAAAAAAAAAAATATTAATGACTTGACACGTCATTGGGCATCAGGTTCTTCTCGGCCAATAGTTAATACTTCCCTTTTGGAATCTGGATTTTGAAACTCATCATATTTTTCTTTGGCTACTAGAAAGCATGAAACCAATGTGGGCCCTAACTTGACTATGTATCAGCCTTAGCCCCAGTTTTATTATTTTTCTAACTTAATCTTTTCTACAATTTGATTTCAACTATACTCTTTTATACACTCATGTTCATATATTTTGGAAAACTGCCTCAAGCCTTTTATGAACTTTAGTGAGAGTTTAAATTATCCACTCAGTTACATATAAATGTATCGTAGGCAATTAACATAAATTTTATAATTTATATTATCAAGATGGATACTTACGTTGGGTTTCTGATTACGGCATGCCAATTTTTAATTTTTTTTAAAATCTGGGTCTCACCCTGTTGCCCAAACTGCTGTACAGTGGCATAATCACAGTTTACCACAGCCTCGACTTCCTGGGCCCAGGTGATGTTTCAGCCTCCACCTTCTGAGTAGCTGGGACCATGGCAGGCATTACCATGCCCAGCTACTCAGGAAGTGGAGGAAGAAACATTTTTTTTTTTAGTAGAGATGAGGTCTCACCAAGAGGGGGAGCTCCCTACCAAAAAAAACAGGAATATCTTTTGGAGGACAGGCCCCTTGTAGAACTCATGGAGTTTGGTTGATATCAATCAAAATTTTTATCTGCAAATTTTGAGACGCTTGCATCACAACATACAAAGTAAACACCCCAAGTTATGGCAAACAAGTGACTGGTTCTTCTACCAGGAAATGCATCTATCCATACCATGCTGAGTCATTTAGCAGTTTTTGACCAAAATAGCATGAACCCCCTTCCCCACCCACACTGTTCACCAGATCCTGCTCCCAAGGAACTTATTTTTTCCCCCAGTGAAAAAAGTCCTCAAAGGGAAATATTTTGCCGACATGGAAGAAGTGAAACAAAAAATGGCAGAATCACTAAAAGGCATCCAAACTGATGAGTTCAAAAACTATTTTGAGCAGTGGAAAAACATCTCATGAAGTGTATTGCATTAAATGAAGAGTACTTTGAAGGTGACTGAAGTATAAACATGTAAGAACAAAGACACAATTTTTAAATAAATAAAGTCCAGTTTATTTTGTGTTTCCCCTCACATGTTGCCTAGGCTGCTCTTCAACTCCTGGGCTCAAGCAATCCTCTCGCCTTGGTTTCTCAAAGTGTTCAGATTATGGGCTTGAGCCACTGCGCACAGCCAACATGCCAAATGTTAAATTATAATGTTAAAATTCTCTTAGTAGAGAGAGAACACTTTCGCTCATAAATAAAAATTCCTTCCCAAATGTTATGTTTCTTTTGATTATTCAGTATTTTTAAAAAATCATCAGATGTAAAATTTCAATAAAATTTTTCTCACAAAAAATAAGTATGAAATTAAAATCAAACCTAATTATTTCAAGATTAAATATTTAAAGACATCTTGCCAATTATTTCATGCAAAAATATTTAATGCATGAAAATAATTTACTTGGCCAGATTAATTTTTTTGAATTTCCTTTTTAAAAAAATTTGCATCGAGATGTAATTTACATACCATACGATTTATCTATTAAAATATATAATTTGATTGTCTTTGTATATTAACAAAGTTGTGCAACCATAACTGTAAACGAAGTTTAGAACACTCTCAGCACTCTGAAAAGAAACTTAGTACCTATCTGCAGTCACGCTTCGGTTCTACCCCCAGACCAAGGTAACTACTAATCTAATTTCTGTCTAAGATTTGTCTATTATGAACTTTTCATGTAAATGGAATCTTGAAAAATGTGATCTTCTGTGACTGGCTTCTTTCACTTACTATAATGTTTTGAAGGTTCTTCCATTTTGTAGCGTGTATCAGTACTTCATTCCTTTTTATTGCCAAATAATATTGTATAGATATATCACATTTTATTTATTGATTAATCAATTGGTGAACATCTGGGATGTTCCCGGTCTTTGACCATTGTGAATAATGCCTCTATGAACATTTTTATACACGTTTTCGTGTGGACATGTCTTCATTTCTTTTAGATATATCTGAGGAACACAATTGCTAAACCACATGGCAATGCTATAATTTAACTTTCTGAGGAATGACAAACTCTTTTCCAAAGCATAGGTTAAATGTTAAAGGTACTAAAATCAAATAAAAATGCCAACCATATCTGAAGGCATAAAAATGGACATAACTCCTACAATCATTTTAAGATTAAAGACTTAAAAGAAACATATAAATATGTTTATCTTTGCATTGCTTTCACATATTTTCCCTCAGTTTATGACTGAACATTTTTATGGTATTTTGGGAGGAAAATTTTGGTCCAAAATGTAGAAACCTAGTTCCTTATTTATAAGACTGCTTAAAACAAATCCCTGCAATTTAATTGCTTATCACATGGAAAAAGTGAAAATCATAAACAAAGATACCTTTGAGTATTTACTATACTTTGTTATTACTATTACTGTGTAGAATGCATATAAGCTTGTTTCCAAGGCATTTGCAATCTTTTAATATATTCTTTCATTCATTTCTCTTAGTCTTGATTTTTCACATCTATAAAAGGAAGGGTTGAACTAAGTGATTCTTCCATAGTACCTCACAATTTTCGTGCTCTGCTAAGTCGTAAGTCAGACTGCAGTTGCAAATCAGAATTTTTATCTGCTGTTATCATTCTAAGTAAAACAAAAATGAGAAGAAACCACACACTATCATGTGGCATCTTCAACTGCTGTATTATCACTTTTTCAGTAACAAAGTGGGTTGAGAAGTAGATTTAAACTTGGAATATGCAGAATAATGACTCCATTGCCAAAAGAAATGAGATCTTCTCAGAGATCTCACTTTGTTTCTCTAGCACCACCCCAGAAGCCATGGGCAGCAGTCTAATTGCAAGCATCAGAATCTGATAGTCTAATTCCATTCCAAATAGACAGTTCAGGGTGCACATGGCTGACCTGTTTTCCTCAGGGATATGAAGAGACATGAACTGCAGAGGATCCAAACACTGCACCAGCCAGCCTTGGCGTTCACTTATTCGAGAGACATCGACCTTCAAAAACTGGTTGGGCATTCTGCTCCATAGGACATGTGACAGGAACTGCACGTGGAGGCGCGGGGGACACTGTGGCACAGGGTTTTTGTGCTCACTCTTGAATAATCCCGCCGAGAGAGGCATCACATTCTAGGGGACAGAGAAGCAGAAAAAGAATGCATTTAGAATATCCGTTGTGGTTCATAAAGTAATGACTAGCATTCTGCACAAAAAAGAGACAGTGGATGTTAAGATAGGCTATGAGTCAAGCAAAGTCAATACAAGAAATCATTGAAATTAGGTTGAAAAGCTCCTGAGAGGACAAACCAGAAATAATATTATGAGAGAAAATACAACTTTGGGGCAGGCAGACAGGTTTTAGGATGGCTCTTTGCCACATCAATAACGCAAGTGCAACCAAGCATAGCCACATATTATCCATATATATAATTTTTTTTTTTTAAACCAGGCTGGGTCCTTCAGGGAAACCTGGAATGTCTTTAAGGGACTTTCAGTGCCAAATTTCCTGAACAAGAGATAGGTCAGATCCTCTTGGCTCTCTCATTGCCTGTCCTCTGTCATCTACCTCAACCTTACACCACCCCCTCCCTAGCTATTCCAGACATATTTTGACAGATAAACTGGATTTCCAACCAAGAAAATTGAATTTGTTAGACATCAACTAATGTAATCTATTTCTCCTCCACCGCAAATATCATCTTCAGACATCCTTCATTCTTTCTGTCTGGTCTCAGGGAAAGAAAGGTCTCTACTTCGCCCAAAGCTTGTGCATTCATGATCTTGATACCACCCCTGCCTGCCTCTTCTGGGATATGAAAACAATTGCCTCACATTTCTACATGACCTTCAGTCTCTCCTTCTGCACTAGAGCTCTCTCAGCTGTTTTTTCTAAGACTGCCTCTTCCTCAAACTGCTTTTCCTTCTACCAACAGATAAAAAAAAGTCAAGCACTGTTTTAGGCACTGAGAATATGCCGATAAATAAAACAAACTAAGCTAACTCCTGCCTTCATATAGCTTCCAGTTTTCTCATTGAAGACATAAAATAAACAAAATCAGTAGGTAAACCAAATGGTATATTCGAAGAGATGTCACAGAGTAGGGGTCAGAAGAGAGTAGAAAACCAGAAGAGAGTAAAAACCAAAAACAGGGCAGCCATTTTAAACAAGCTGGTCAGAATGGGTGTCATTAACAAGATGACCTTTAAAGATGTAGTGAAAAAGAGCCCTATGGATGTTTGGGAGAAGAAACTTCGACGCAGAGAAGACAGTTCAAAGAAGCTGCAGAAGAAGTCTGCCTGGCAAGTTTGTGGAGGATAAAATGCCAGTGTGGCTGGAATGAAATGAAAAGAGGGGAAAACAGGAAGAGGTGAAGTCAGAGAGCTCATGGGACATAGACCATTTTAGGGACTCAGGGTCATTGTAAGACTTCTGATTTTTATTCTCAGGAAAAGAGGGTTTACGGAGTTTTGAGCAGTGGAATGATCCGACGTGACTAATGGTTTAAAGCAGTGATAATCACTCAATTGTTGTATGCTAGATAGATGGACAAGGATGAACTAAGGGAAACCTATTAGGAGACTAAACCGGACTCATTCAGGAGAGAAACAATAGTGACTGGAGATCAGTGTGGTGACTGGGAGTAGCAATGGTGACAGAATTCAGAAAGTGGAAGATTTCCTGGGGATGGACCTGGGATGTGGAATGTCAGAGTTTTCGGCCTGAGCCACTAGGCTCGCTAGGACCTGAAATGGGGAAGACAGCAGGTCAAACAGGTGAGGAGGAGGGGTGGTGACGGTCAGCAGTCCAGTGTAGACACATTCAACTTGTGATATCTATTACCATCCAAATGGAAATGTCATTCAACAGCTGAATAGACCAGTCAGGGTTCTGGGAAACTACCACTTTTTGTCAAATTTCATAAAAAGAAAAAAAAAATCCATGTAAATGCATCGCCCCCTTTCTCTCACTTCCAATCTTGAATTCACTGTAACATGGCTTCTCTCACCATTTTGCTAAAATTCTTCTGATCATCAAAGCCCTCCTAATTAACAACAGCTAGGGATTTCCTTAGTCCAAGCGGCACTAGGCTACCTGTGGCATCTACTGTCTAATGTTGCCCATTCCTATTTGGAAAATTTCCTCCTCACTTGGCTTCCAGTAAGATATCTCTCTCAGTTCTCCTACATTCCTGACAGTTTTGTCCTCAACTTTCCACAAAAATTTCCCTTCCTTAGTTGATACAACCAGATTATCTCCTCAGTCATCTTCTTTTCTCACTCTACATCAGGGGTCCTCAAACTTTTAAAACAGGGGGCCAGTTCACTGTCCCTCATACCGTTGGAGGGGCGGACTATAGTTTTAAAAAAAACTATGAACAAATTCCTATGCACACTGCACATATCTTATTTTGAAGTGAAAAAACAAAACGGGAACAAATACAATATTTAAAATGAAGAACAAGTAAAGTTAAATCAACAAACTTACCAGTATTTCAGTGGGAACTATGGGCCTGCTGTTGGCTAATGAGATGGTCAATGTCCGCTTCCATATTTGTCACTGCTAGTCGTAACAAGTTAAGGCGGCAAAAACACCCGGCGGGCCGGATAAATGTCCTCGGCGGGCCGCATGTGGCCCGCGGGCCGTAGTTTGAGGACCCCTGCTCTACATCCATGCTCATATAGTTCATTCATTCTCAAAGATGAATTGTAATTGATTCCTTATTCTCCAGTATACCTCTTTTTTGAGCAAAATTGTGCATATATATGTACATATGTGTTTACATATGTACGCATTTATGCTTATGTATGGTGTGTTATTCATAAATGTATTGAGCAGATACCATGTTTAAGGTATTGTTCAAGATTTTTTAATGATATTATTTTAATTTCATAAACCAGATATGGTGAATCCCATTTTTACAGAGACAGAAACGAAGCTCACACAGTCCAAGAGGCATAGCCAAGGTCATCAAGCCGGCCTGGAAAAAGTATCTACTAGGTTCACCCTCAACTTTCCAACTGCAAAATTAAATTCAATACATTTTCCTGAATTTCAACAAGCTTTTCTATTTTTGCTTTAGTATTCCCAAGGGGCCCACATTTTTAAAATGTAAATTAATTGGTTCTTCACCTCTCTGAGATCCCGAATCCAATTCGACAATTTCTATTTATCCAATTCATTGTCAAAATCCTATTAACGTCTTATATTAAACATTTTCTCATTTATCTCTCTACTATGGCTTTCATGACTCTTCAATCCTTCAGTGCTATTGTCTATTCTTGATCTTCTTTACTTCCACTTAAGTAACAACATATGTTTCCAAAACAAGTTTCATTATTCTCAATTCCCTTCTTCAAGTTTCCAATGGATTACCTCTGTTTGTGTGACAGCTACTACTACTTAGCATGGCACACAAGACCTTAACTTGGACTTCGTCTACCTTTTATCCACCTTAATGTCTAGACACATTCTGGAAGAAATCCTTGGTTACAGTCAAACTGAATGACTTTATCTTCAGGACCTCTACTCTTACATATTTTTGCTTCTTCGCATCCTTTTCCTATAATGCCCTCTCCTAATAAATGTGCCCCAAGAGCTCTTATTTTTTACAGTTAGTAATCTTATTTTAGCTTTGCCTGATCCAACCCACTCAACGTAGATGTTCTTTCATTTATATCCCAGAGAACTTTATACATGGCACTATTCTAGGTGACATGGTTTTAGGTTTTTAAGTCCATTCACTACTGGCTTACCTTGAGTATTACTGCACTGCAGGTAATTTGGCATTGTTGGGTCTGTATAGGGCTAGCTTTATTGAATAACATACATTAGATGACCAAAGAGAAACTCTTTCTAATTAATTGTTACGGTAGTGACCTGAGCTTTTCAAACATGGCTACCTTTTATTGAAAGAATAATTTTTTTTTTTTTTTTTTGAGTTGGAGTCTCACTCTGTCGCCCAGACTGGA